GTTGGTAGGGATGACTCCATGTTCCTCTCTTGTGCCTCTTTCCTTTTATCAGAGGGTGACGAATACCACCAACAAGCCACCGTCCCCCTTTCCTCGGAGACCCACGGAGGAGAAGACGTGGCTATCTTTGCCAAGGGTCCAATGGCTCATCTCTTCCACGGGGTCCAAGAACAGACATACGTTGCCCATCTTATGGCCTACGCTGCCTGCATAGAACCATATGAGGACTGCGACCTGCCACGATTGAACTCCGCCAGTGTTGCCAAGCCCACATCTGTGCTTCTCCTCCTCATCTCCTTACTCCTTTGGGGTTGATAGCCTTCCTCTGAACAATATGGAGACCGTCACATGCCACTTTATTCTGTCATCCGGGTAGTTCTTCCCTCTCCAATGCCACATGGAGTATTGTTTCAGTCAGCTTGCCTTCAAAGTCTCTAGCTTGTTGAAAAATTGTCTTCTGTTTTGTTCTCTCACTGGGAAGGTTATCTCATGTGTCAGATTAGGATTGTAGGCATCACCTGCTTCTCATATTTGGAGCATTTCTTGGAGACGATTTAATCCAAATGGCTTTTGTGGGCTGGGAATGGAGTCCCCCCAAAGCCCTTGAGAAGGAGCACTCAATGAATGGATCACACTCATTTGCCCATGCAGACAAAACAGTGTTGGCCTTTTAATTCAATATAATCAGCAGCAGAAAAATACAATGCAACAATTTCTGTACAGAGAGCTCCTTAAGCCCTAATGCCCACATAGTGCTACCTGGTCACCAGGAATATGCCTGTAATCCATCTGGGAGACAGGGAGCAAGACGGCACAAATCTCAATGGCCCTTTGTTTGTTTTCCAGTCCAGCATGGGGAGGATGTGGACTGGGCTGCAGTATGCCAGGAATGGGATGGCCTCTCCATCCAATATATCTCACCACATTTGATCCAAAGCAGCAGGACATTGGATCCTTGGTATCCACTACGGTTTGGTTGCAGGACTTCCTATAGATAATGGAAAACTATGGATGCTCAAGTTGCATTATATGCAGTGGCATCAGAAAATGGTATCCCTTATATATAATGGCAAAAATCAAGATTTGCCTGTTGGAAAATATATTCATCAATATATATATGATGAATCTATGGATATAGTGGGATGCCTGTGCTCTTATATCGAAAGGCTAGTATAGGCACTTCAGCCCTCCAGGTGTTTTGACTTCAACTCCTACAACTTTTCCAGGAATTAAGGGAGTTTAAATCCAAAACGATTCTAGGGGCAGCTGCTGTATACCTTGCCTGTTATATGAAGACACATCAGGTTACAATAGGAGCATCCGAAGTTTGCTCATGCCTGGCCTGGTAGATAGATCTGGAAACTGGGAATATAGGTTGAGTATTCCTTATCTGAAATGCTTAGAAACAGAAGTGCTTTGAATTTTGGAATATTTTGCATATGCATAGAGATATCTTGGAAATGGCACCTAAATCTAAAACTGAAATTCGATTCTGTTCCATATATATACCTTATACACATAGCCTGAAGATAGTTTTTCATTGAAACCAAATTGGTGTACACTGAACTATCAGAAAGCAAAAGTATCATTATCTCAACCACATATGTGGACAGTCTGGGTAGATTGTGGATTTTGTATTTCTACATAAGGGATCCTTATCGTGAATTGAGTTTTGGGAGAATTTGGGGAATTTGTCTTTGGTCAAAGTGGCTGAGGGGAAAAAAGGAAAGGGTCTGAGGCTGTTCGGAATTGTGGGAGTTGAAGTCCAAAACACTTGGAGGGCCCAAGTTTGCCCATGCCTGGTGGAGATGAACCTACCAACATAATATTTTGTACCATGGGTAGAAATAGTATTAAAAAGCAGGGATGCATTCCTACACCTCACCAAATAAGTGGAACACTTCAGTTTCAGCAATCGTTTTATCCAAAAGGATTCTAGGGGCAGCTGCTGTATACCTTGCCTGTTATATGAAGACACATCAGGTTACAGTAGGAGCATCTGAAGTAGAAAACCATTATTTCCCAGTTCAACCCATATTGCAGTGTTTGCTGCAGATTTGCTGCTGCAATCCGACATGAAAGATCTGTGTTTCTCTAACTCTCCCAAAGCTGGTGCGGCTAAAAAACTTCCAGTTAGGGGACAAGGAGGAAAAAGCAAATGGAAAAAAAAAGACTTTACAAAAAGGATATCCTTGTTAACAGAGTTATTCCTGTAATAGTTTACTGGAAATGACTTTACATATATTGTGTGACTTCCAGGCTCTAGTACTTTAAGACACAGGGTGCATCTACATCGTAGGATTAAAGCAGTTTGATTCCACTTTAATTGTTGTGACTCAATGCAATGGAATAATGGGAGATGCAGTTTACCAGGGCCTTTAGCCCTCTTTGCCAAATAGTGCTGGTGCCTCACCAAACTACAACTCCCGGTATCTCATAGCATTGAGCTATGGGAGTTAGTGGTATCAAACTGTACTAATTCTATAGTAAAGATGCGCCCACAAAGAGATTTGTGCTTCCCTTTGAGATATGTTTACCTACAAATGATAGGATTATGGAGGAGCCTTGTGCTGGCAGGACTGCTGACTGAAAAGTTAGTGGTTCAAATCTGGGGGTCGGGGTGAGCTCCCATCTGTCAGCTCCAGCTTCTCATGCGGAGGCATGAGAGAAGTATCCAACAGGATGGTAAAACACATCCCATTTGTCCCCTGGGAAATATCCTTGCATCCGGGTGTCCCCTGGGAAATGTATTTGCAGACTGCCAATTATCTCACACCAGAAGTGACTTGCAGTTTCTCAAATTGCCCCTGACATGAAAAAAAAAAGAGATTATGGAAGGGACAAAGTTTTGAAGCTACGAGGAACATTAATTCCAAGGACAGTGACAATGTCTGCTGTCGGTAGGGTTTCAAAACCCAAAATACATTCAGTTTTCCCATATACATACTGTCTGTAAGAGGAAGTAAATTCATGGCTTTGCAATGAGAAAGGCCAGAAAAAGACCCCTTAAGATGAAATGCTCTATTTATAAATTGTTCGCTGAGCGGAGAGTCCATCAGGATAACGGTACTATGAAAAACAATCAACATATTGAGAAGACAATATTGCTAGACGCAACCCAAAACTTACAGAATAGCCACCAGCAAGCTTCTGAGGATTCTTGCTTCATGCTGGATGTTATGCTTAATAAAAATTGCAAAATAAATTATCTTTTAGTGTGTGTTTGTAGTGATGGTAGCAAACCATTCATAGGGGATCATGGTTTCATTTACACTCCACATTATAACATACTCTACACTTTGTATTGACTTGATATTAATACTGAAATGCAGTAATTAAAAGCAAATTAAGGCAAATAAAGACGGACTAACTTAGGGCACTTCCAGACAGTACTAAATCATGGGGCAAAAAAATCCCAGGACTTCAGAGGTCAACCTACAGACCTGTTGGTCCCGGGATTTCTGCCTCCATTGTCCAGACTTGATGCTTTGTTGTGAGATTTAGAGGCTCCCAAGATGTGGGATTTATGCTGGAAACGTCTCAAGACCCGGATATGCGGATATGAGGAGAATCATTGCAGTGAATCACTGCAAAAGTTTCATTCTTTGTCCTGCCCAGAGAAACTGTGCCCGCCAGACGTTTCATGAAGTATCTGCCACACAAACAAAGCTCATGGGATAGGACTTCTGTCCAAGTCAGCACTACACAATCAAACAGGAACACACACCTTCAAGCCAGGAGCAGAACTTTGTCATGATTGACACTTTTTAGAGCCTGGCTGCCTGGCCATCTGTCCAGACAGATTCACTTGCGTACTTGTGGTGGCATCATAGAATCATAGAATCAAAGAGTTGGAAGAGACCTCATGGGCCATCCAGTCCAACCCCATTCTGCCAAGAAGCAGGAATATTCCATTCAAAGCACCCCTGACAGATGGCCATCCAGCCTCTGTTCGAAAGAAGGAGCCTCCACCATAAACCGGGGCAGAGAGTTCCACTGCTGAACGGCTCTCACAGTCAAACAACAGGGTGCTGATCCTGGGTTATACATGGCTGCTCCTGATTGCTCTTCTTGTGAAAAGATGTACAGCATTGACTAGGGGGCCACAACTTTGTCCTGGCCAGAGAAAATGAGCCCTCATAGAATCATACAGTTGGAAGAGACCTCATGGGCCATCCAGTCCAACCCCCTGCCAAGAAGCTGGAATATTGCATTCAAATCACCCGACAGATGGCCATCCAGCCTCTGTTTAAAAGCTTCCAAAGAAGGAGCCTCCACCACACTCCGGGGCAGAGAGTTCCACTGCCGAACGGCTCTCACAGTCAGGAAGTTCTTCCTCATGTTCAAATGGAATCTCCTCTCTTGTAGTTTGAAGCCATTGTTCCGCATCCTAATCTCCATGGAGATTAGGACATGTTTCATGAAGTTTCTGGTACACAAACAAGGATTTCACCTTCTACTCAAGTGTCACCTGCTTTTTAGGAACTGACCAATCAGGAACAAATATCTACAACCCAGGAACAAGCCCAGATAAAAAAATATTCCATGATTTTTGATTGCAGGAACATATGGATATGTGAAGACCTGCATATTTGGCTCAAAACTGCAATACACTGTTCCCTCGCTATTTCGCGGTTCGCTTATTGTGCACTCACTGTTTTGTGGGTTTTTCCTACCCCCAGGAGCCACCGGGGGAGAGGGAGGGGAGGAGGAGGAAGAGGAGGAGGGGAGCCAGGTGCCAGGCATGTAGCCGGGGGGGGGGGGGCTTCAGCCCCCCCCCCCAAATTCTCATGGTGGTTCGCGAAAAGGCCTTACTGGTGCATTATTTAAACTGTTATGTTTATTCATATCATGATCTGATCACCATACTCAATATATCCCATATGCATGGGGTATTGGGGTAATGATACAAAAGGTTTGCTAGGCTAGACCCTCTTTCACTCAGACTCAGTCCCCCCCGAAACTCAGCCCCTCCCAAAAAAACCTGGGCCTGCCAGGTGCTGAGCTGATGGCTCCTTCTTTGGAAGCTTTTAAACAGAGGCTGGATGGCCATCTGTCAGGGGTGCTTTGAATGGAATATTCCTGCTTCTTGGCAGAATGGGGTTGGACTGGATGGCCCATGAGGTCTCTTCCAACTCAATGATTCTATGATTCTCTCCGGGCTCATTGGCAGTGGCCTCCTCCTCCTTGCCTGCCACTTCTGCTGCTCCCTGCTCCTTCCTCGGAAGCCTCAGCCCACCCAAGGAGCCTCCGAGGTTGGGAGCAGCAGAGGTGGTGAGGAGGAAGGGGCTCCACCTTCTGTTCCAGGCCCACCCACGAAAAGTGAAAATCCATGAAGTAGGGATGCTCCGCCCACTGGATGGCAGTCTCCTCCTCCTCACCGCCTCTGCTGCTCCCAGCCTCGGAAGCTCCTTGGGCTCCGTTGATGGCACTACCAGGCTGGGCTGAGTCCTGGTCTGAGGCCTCAGCCCCACCTGGCAGTGCCGTCAACGGAGCCGAAGAGGTATCCAAGGTAAGGAGTAGTGGAGGCGGTGAGGAGGAGGAGGCTGCCACCGAGTGGATGGAGCATCCCTACTTCGCGGATTTTCACTTATCGTGGGTGGCCCTGGAATGGAACACCGTGATAAATGAGGGAACACTATATTCCCACACCTGGAAATCTCATAGTTTTTGCCTTTTGTAGCGATTGCTTCTGTGTTTATAGGGAATGGCACCTGGCCACCCTCTTGTTTGCTGCAGAAGCTCCTGGGATAAAGGTACTGTCTGGACAGGTCCCCAATGTGACATAGTTTTACTGTATTATACAATCAACTTTGTAAATGCATTATGCATTATCTTTTTATTTTTTTGACAGTTGCTTGAGAGTTCTGGTTGCTTGCTTTCTGGTTAACAGAGAGTCTACTGCATGTAATGAGAAAGGGATTCTGGGATGTGTGTATAGCAGGCACCGTTTTACACCTTAGCAATGGACTCAGGAAGCAAGACCTGTCTGCAGCATCTCTCAGTTTGTCCATCTGTCTGTCAGTTCCAGCTTGGAGGGAGAGATATAGTTCCCCTCTTTGCTTTCCGTCTGGCCAGAGGGCGAAACATAGCACAATGGAAGGTCCAGCAGGTTCTTTATGGCACACTGTGTGTGGGTTTATGTTGGTGGGCTGAGCGGGTGGGCGTTTCACCAAACGGAGCATTTGTGAGCTGGATTCATGGGTGAGTTCTTCGGACAATGGAAGACCCTTCCAAACTCCTCAAATTGCGAGACGCTGCCCAGGACTCTGCAAAAAGGAACAGGGAAAGAGGTTGAAAGTGACACAGGAATAGCAAAATGGTTATGAAAGGGTCTGTGAGCGAAATTTGCAAATACTAAGTAAGGGGCTTTGAATGAAATTAACAGCAAAAGAGAGACATACCCTTTCTCTGTAGAAAAAAGAGCAATACTGAAGAAAATGTTTTTAAGAAACAAGATGTGACATGTAGAGGTACAAGAAGGACTTTCTTACACAGGATGTGTTGTGGTTAACTTCAAAGGTTGTGGTAAAGTGCAGAGTCTGCATGTACAAAAAGGTACTTTCCATCAAAAGGTCAAGGGAGAGGGGCTGGAAAGAGAGTACTTTCCATGACTAAAAAATAATGTTCTTGTTTACTTGAGGTTATATATTTGGTGGTCAAAAGCCAAGGGCGCACGGCAGTCACTTGAAGGGTAGCATCTGCGCATGCTACCCGGCTGTCCGTCTTCTTCATGAAGAAATTAAAGAAATTGGGACTGTCTCCTTCCTTACGTGTTCTTGTGACTGCATGGACCTAAGAAGACCCAATTTAGGGTCTCTAACAGTTATAAGACTAAAAAAGTCTATTTTTGCTAAACTGGGTGGGTGACTAGCCCCCTTTCCCTCTGTTCTCTTTCCTCTCATCAGATCCTTGAGACTAAACTCAAGAAACACTCCACGCAAATCCACTTCTTAGTTTGAACTAAAGTGGATCCATTTGTCATGTTAATTCTCCATTCAACCATTGACTCCAATTCAGATGGTCAAAGTTGTGTTACTTCCAAGCTCTTTGAGAGACATGGTGCATCTATACCAGTGGTTCCCAACCTTTTTTTGACCAGGGACTACTTTGATTTTTTTGTTAGCAGAGACCACAAGATTTAATAAACCATGTTAGTCTCAAAATAAATTTTAATCAAAACTTTTAACATATTCATTAAACTTAATGGTAACATGAATTAAGAGTGTGATTATCATATAAAAAAGAACATTTTAATAGAAAATTACCGTATATATTCGAGTGTAAGCCGACCCGAATATAAGCTGAGGCACCTAATTTTACCACAAAAAACTGGGAAAATGGATTGACTCGAATATAAGCCGAGGGTGGGAAATGCAGCAGCTACTGGTAAATTTCAAAATAAAAATAGATACCAATAAAATTATATTAATTTAGGCATCAGTAGGTTAAATGTTTTTTGAATATTTACATAAAACTGTGATTCAAGATAAGACTGTCCAACTCTGATTAAACCATTATTCTAACCTTCTTCAATGTAAATATGCTTACATGTCCTCCAATAATAATAGAATAATAATAATAATAAGTAAAATAATAAATGTAACAATAACAATAATAGAGTAAAATAATAAATGTAATAATAACAATAATAAAATAATAAAGGTAATAATAATAATAATAACAACAACAAAGTAAAATAATAAATAACATTGACTCGAGTATAAGTCAGGGGAGACTTTTTCAGCCTAAAAAAAGGACTGAAAAACTAGGCTTATACTTGAGTATATACAGTATATTCTGTTTGCATCAATGTGATTTTTGAGTTTGCGTCTTCTTTACAAGTTGGGTAATCCTACAACTAATATTATCTCTCAAAGCTACACACATCATCACTTACTTTCAATCAATTCCTTGACTTGTTTTTAATTACCAGCAAAGCGAAAAGCCCTTGTTCACATAAATAAGTTGTGGAGAAGAGCATAAGACAGCACAAGGTGATTCCTTGAATTTTAGTATTAAAAATTGCTTTTTTGCACCAAAACTCTTCAAAAGAATCAGATTCAAATGCATCCTTGCAGTTTCTATCATTTTGAAATTCAGTGAGCTCTTCCTGGATTTCTTCTGCAAACTCTCCAATTTCAATCGTCATTAATAAGTCAAAAATTAATATGAATATTGAGGACGCACGGTCAGTAAAATTACTGGAGCCGTCGAATCATTAAACAGGAAAACGGAATCACTGACACAGCAGAGCAAGACAAAAAAAATGCATGCAATGGACTGACACCGTGATACGTGATGTCGATTGCTTGTCCTCCCCCCAGCCTCGCACGCTTGCCCGATGTCCTACTCACCTGCGCTGCTCATGTAGTGACGGATTTATTAAAATGAATAAAGGTTTAAAAATTTAAATGTTTCGTGGACCATATTTTAGTTCTTGCGGACCACTGGTTCGTCCGCTGACCATTGATTGGGAACCACTGATCACAGTAGAATTAGTGAAGTTTGACACCACTTTAACTGCCATGGTGCAATGCTATGACACCCTGCGAGTTGCCGTTTGGGGAGGCACCAGGAGTTTTCAGAAGATAAAGCTTTGTTGTTGTTTATTCATTCAGTTGTTTCCGACTCTTCGTGACCTCCTGGACCAGCCCACGCCAGAGCTCCCTATCAGCCGTCACCACCCCCAGCTCCTTCAGTGTCAAGCCACTTCAAGGATACCATCCATCCATCTTGCCCTTGGTCAGCCCCTCTTCCTTTTGCCTTCAATTTTCCCCAGCATCATTCTCTTCTCTAGGCTTTCCTGTCTCGTCATTATGTGGCCAAAGAGCTTCATATTTGCCTCTAATATCCTTCTCTCCAATGAGTAGTCAGGCTTTATTTCCTGAAATATGGACTGGTTGGATCTTCTTGCAGTCCAAAGCACTCTCAGAATTTTCCTTCAACACCACAGTTCAAAAGCATATCTCTTCCTTCGCTCAGCCTTCCTTATGGTCCAACCCTCATATCTGTAGATTACTCTGGGGAACACCGTTGCTTTAACTATGTGGATCTTCGTTGTCACTGTGATATCTCTACTCTTCACTATTTTATTGAGATTGGTCATTGCTCTCCTCCCAAGAAGTAAGCATCTCCCTGATTTCCTGGCTGCAGTCTGTGTCTGCACTCATCTTCCCACCTAGAAATACAAAGCCTGTCAATGCCTCCACGTTTTCTCCCTCTATTTGCCAGTTATCAATCAGTCTGGTTGCCAGAATCTTGGGCTTTTTGATGTTTAACTGCAACCCAGATTTTGCCCTTTCTTCTTTCACCTTGGTGAGAATGCTCCTCAGATCCTCCTGACTTTCGGCCATCAAAGTGGTATCATCTGCATATCTAAGGTTGTTAATGTTTCTTTCAGGAATTTTTACCCCAGCCTTGCATTCGGCAAGTCCCGCATGTTGCATGATGTGTTCTGCATACAAGTTGAATAGGTTGGGTGAGAGTATACAACCCTGCCATATGCCTTTCCCAATCTTGAACCAGTCTGTTGTAAAGCTAAATGCCTTTTAATACTGCAATTGTTTTGATTCCATAGCATTGAGCCATGGCAGTTAAAGTGGGGTCAAAATGCATTAATAGATGTGGACTTGCACTCTCTGCGGTGATGTCCGATATGAAAGTGGGAATTCCTTGTTTCATCCCAAAGGCCCCAAACCCGCTCCTTCCCATCTCTTTCACCTACAAATCCTCAACATACCTGTAGTGTTCAGGGGCATGTTTGTCAGTCAAAACCTGCAGGTAGATGGATTGGGAACGCCGCTTAATGCACCAGTTCTGCAAAGAGAAGAAGGGACAACTACAGAAAGGGGGAAGGACCACATTGCAGACATGAGACAAAGCAAAAGAATATTCAAGACTAGTACACAATCCAATACAAGAGATTGTTGAAATAAGAATACAGAAAGATCCAACTTCTTTCTTATTTCCATTGGGATTATAGTCTCCATCATCCTTTCAGCAACGACTATGCTGGCTGGAAACTATAGAGACTGTTGATCTCAGAAGGCCACCATTTGGGTATCAGTGCTCTTAAATTATCTCGTAAAATGAGACTCTTTTGGGGATAGCTCTCTTGTAAGAAGAGAGAGAATTTTCTTTTAATTAAGAAATCAGTTTAGTAAGATGCATATGTTGAACCTGAAGAAGGAAAAGACTGAGAGATGACATGATGGAGCGTTCTGTTGCGCGCTGGGCCTGTAATTAATTGACTTGAAAAACAGGATGTGTAACCTTTGCCCAGCGGGAAGCCAGGGGCCCAAGGAGAAGTTCTCAGAGGTTTCCACCACAAACAGTCTTTAGATGGCTTGAGAAGTACAACAAAGTCTTTTATTAATGAACAATCAAACAGAAACTTCTCTTGTCTTCAGTAAAGTTAAGCAAATGATTCCAAACTTTTAGGAAACTGGTGAATTCCTAATCTTGCCCACGAAGGACAGGCAACTGACTTCAATAACTTCTTCTTTAAAGGAAAATCACCCTTTTTAACTTCTCCCAGGCTGACTGAAATCCAACCCTCACTGATGTGGGCTCTGCTACCGGGTCGAACTGCTTCTCGAACGCCGAGTGGACCTACCAGCAAGGCAGTGGATGTTCTCCAGCTGGAGTTCTTTAGTCTTTAGGGCTGTTTTCCTGGAAATTCTTAAAGCTGTGGGAATGCTTCCCTGGAGTTCTTAAAGGTTGAAGCTTTTGTAATTTACACACATCCTGTACATAGCTTTTCTGGCTGAGACTAACTAACAAAATGGCTCACTTCCCTTCCCAATTGCCCTGAGCAAGGGGCAGGACCAAAACCTAACGATGATGGACAGGTGGTCTGCCCTATGACTGCAGCCAAAAGAAACCACCTATCTGCAGAGTCCCTGAAACTTAGGACTACAAACAAACATTCAATGCAAAGCAAACAAAATTGGAGCTCCTGGTACAGCTGTTCCAGAACATGGAGCCATCTTTAACCATCTGAAAGCACGTTATACAGACGGTAAACGTGTTTTCTGCTGCTCCAGAGACTAGGTGAATTAACAGGTTCAAACTACAAGAAAAGAGATTCCATCTAAGCCAGGAATGGACAAACTTGGGTCTCCAGGTATTTTGACTTCAACTCTCACAATTCCTAACAGCTGCTGTTAGGAATTGTGAGAATTGAAGTCCAAAACACCTGGAGGGTCAAAATTTGGTCATGCATGGTCTAAGCCATTGGTTCTCAAACTTCCAAATGACGTGGCCCCTTAATACAGTTCCTCAAGTTGTGGTGACCCTCAACCATAACATTATTTTCATTGCTACTTCATAACTGTCATTTTGTTACTGTTATGAATCACAATGTAAATATCTGATATGCATGATGTATTTTCATTCACTGGACCACATTTGACACAAATACCCCATACACCCAAATTTGAATGCTGGTGGCGTTTTGGGGGGGAGGGGGGAGGGATTGATTTTGTCATTTGGGAGTTGTAGTTGCTGGGATTTATAATTCACCAACACTCCAAGAGCATTCTGAACTCAATCAATGATGGAATTGAGCCAAACAGCACACAGAACTCCCATGATCAACAGAAAATACTGGAAGGGTTTGGTGGGCATTGAGCTTGAGTTTTGGAGTTGTAGTTCACCTACATCCAGAGAGCACTGTGGACTCAAACAATGATGGAACTGCACCAAACTTGACATGAATACTAAATATGCCCAGATGTGAGCACTGGTGGAGTTTGGGGAAAACTCCACCAGTTGCTGGGATTTATCCAAGAGCATTCTGAACTCCACAATGTGGACTCAAACAATGATGGATCTGGACCAAACTTGATGTGAATACTCAATATACCCAAATGTGGACACTGGTGGAGTTTGGGGAAAACAGACATTGAGATTTGGGAGTTGTAGTTGCTGGGATTTATAGTTCACCTACAATCAAAGAGCATTCTGAACCCCACCAACAATAGAATTTGGCCAAACTTACCACACAGAACCCCTATGACCAACAGAAAATACTGTGTTTTCTGATGGTCTTTGATGACCCCTCTGGCACCATCTCACGACCCCCCCTAGGGGTCCCGACCCCCAGATTGAGAAACGCTGGTCTAAGCATTATGAGTATGGTGGACCTTTACAGATCTTCAGGGAGGTCTTCAAATAGATATTGGGTTGGCATGAAATTATGGTATGCTTGCATGACATGGGAGTGGATTAGATATCCTTTATGGCACCTTCCATCTCTATGATTCTAATGCCAATAAGCTTTCAACTGCAGAAGAACAATTCTTGGTAAGATGGAGACCTTACCTGGGCAAAAGCAATGAAGAAAAGCTGCTCATGGGTGTATTTAAGCCAGTGCAGTGGGTTTTCAGGTCCATGATCCCGCACCCACTTCTGGTAAGCCTGTAAGAGACAACCAGGTTCAGCATGGAAAGGCAAAAGGTCCTCAGTTGTTGGTTTTCCTATGAAGAACATTGTGCCAAAAGAGAGATCAGAAATGGGACAAGATCACTAACGGGAATGGTCAAAATTAAAGTAGTATCTAAAGTAAGCATGGACAAACTTTGGCCCTCCAGGTGTTTTGGACTTCCACAATTCCTAACCGCCTACTGGCAGTTAGGAATTGTGAGAGTTGAAGCCAAAACATCTGGAGGGCCTAAGTTTGCCCATGCCTGGTCTATGAGCATCTTTTGTGTATAGCAGTCTATGGCATGAGTGAATGGCACATATATAGGCACTCAAACCCATGGTCTAGAGGAAAAAAGTGTCTCTTTAAATAGAGGCTTGAAGTCCCAGTTAGTCAGTTAAAGTTTGGGTGTTAGAGAAAGAAGAAGAGTTGGTGTTAGTGAGAACAAGTTTGGTTTTAGAGAAGAAGATTGGGTCGGTCTTTTGTGAAGTATTCAGAATAGCTATTGAAGAGATAGCTAGAATACTGTGGAGGAGCAGTACCCTCCTCCACAGTTCAATTCCTAGGGAAGTCTAGTTCAGGGTATTTTTGGCTAGATTCCCGAGGGGAAGTTTTGGGAGTTACTGTCAGAGATTCATTTCCTGAAGTAATTTTCTGTGGAACTTTGAAGATTTGCATCCCAGAAGTTTTTAAGATTTTGACTCTAACGCAACCACAAGCTTTTTATGCCAGTATTATCTGAAACCATTAAGTATTTGTACCTGAATTATTACAAGTCTGTTCAATAAACATTCAAATTCTTTTATCAACTTATACCAGCCTCAGTGAGTGTACCTTTCTGGTCAAAGTATTTCTAAAGACAGCTTCACAGCAGCCTCTAAGAAACTATAGTGGCACAGTGTGTGATACAGAACAAACTCTCAATATTACCTCAGCCTGATTAATATTGGAATGGTGGCAGCAGAATTCATTTGAAGAATCATTTTAAGTCTCTCAGTTCTAGTGTTCCCCAATTCCTAACTTTTAAAGATACAGTTGGTTCAACAACCATATTCTCTCTTCCTTTTGAAGGCTTTATATTTTTTGGCTGAACAGCACGTTCGTATATTTTTAGGAGGTGCCTGTGTATGTGTTTTGTGCGCCTCTGTCTGTGTGGGTGCGTTATAATTTTGGTGGCAGCGGTGCTTTATAGCCAGCATCCCCATTTACTCCCAAATGGATAGAGAGAGACAATTGAACAGCACTGAGGTCACATAGTGAGCTGTTTCAAGTGCTAAGTGGTTCATATTTTCTTAAACATCGCCATCCTTAGCAGAGTGGAAACTCATAGAACCAGATGGAGGCCTTTGGGAGGATGGCTTATGGAAGTCCAGTGAGACCCCTCTTTAGACAGACTGGAGTGTCACTTTGGGTGTACCTACACTGTCAAATTAATGCAGTTTGATAACAATTTAACAGTCATGGCTCAATGCTATGGAACTGTGGAAGCTGTAGTTTTACAAGGCCTTTACCCTTCTCTGCCCAAGAGCACTGCTGCCTCACCAAGTGTCAACTCCAAGGCATTAAGTCATGGCAATTAAGGTCATATCAAGCTGCATTAATTCTACAGTGCAACTGAACCCTTAGAGAACAACAAAGTCCAAACAGCTCTATTTGCCACATTGTTGTTGCAGCTGGGACTTCATTCCAAGACCTTTGGGCCTCTTCCACTTGTTGAAAGCTACTTACATAGTAGGCCAGCTTCAGTCCCCCCATATCAGCAATGTTCTCTCCAAGGGTATGCTTTCCATTCACCTGTGAAAAAGAGAGGAGCAAAGAAGTAAGAAGGGAGCATCTTTCCTGGTCCTTTTTTCATAGTGCCACCTGCGTACGATGTCCTATTGCAGCTCCAAACAGAGTCCATATGGAGTCAATTCGATTGTGCCAACTTTTTGTCACTTTTTGAATATATATCTTTTCTGAACAGCGTGCAATTCTGATCACAAAGAGAATGAACTGTGAACCAGGAAGTCCTGGATTCAAATCTTACGTCTGCCATACCTTTACCAAATAGACAAGCATCTCTATTTTTTCAAGTCCCAAATATGAAAAATGGGGAATTATCGCTGCCATCTTTGTGTGCTCCTGCTTTCGAATATCTATAGGTAAGGGTAAAAGTTTTCCCCTGACATTAAGTCCAGTCACGTCTGACTCTGGGAGGTGGTGTTGTGCTGTCGCACGCTGGGTCTGTGCATAAGACTGTAGACAGGACTTAATTTCCGTGTGCCCAACGGGACGCCAGGGCTGCCTCAGATTAAAGGCCCTTGTATTTCCTTAAAACAGAGTCTTTAGATTGCTTAAAGATTCAACAAAGTTCTTTATTAATGAAAACAAACAGGTACTTTAAGGCTTTCTTAGCAGTCTATTGGCTCTTTCAATCTTGTCCACAGGGAACAGGCACTATCTTCATGACTGGTATTTTAACTAATGGGGAAATCCTTAACTTCTAATCTGGGCAGTCTGTCTTTGCCTCTGATGGCATGGAGCCCCTGCACCTGGTACTAACTGCTTCTGGCTTCCGCGAGTGACCCTTACCAAGCAGAGCTTTGTAGACTTCCAGGGAAAAGGAGTTCAGGTTTCGGTGACGGCTGGCTGAAGTCCCTCAGCAAAGGAGCTGTAAGGCTATATCTCCCCGGCCAAGCCGTAGAAGACGAAGCTTTCTACAGGAGCTCTTGGTATTATGTCTTGCATGGAAAGCTTCTCTGATCTTTATTTATTTATTTATTTATTATTTATTTATTTCACAGTTTTCTATACCGAGCTTCTCAACCTCATTGAGGGACTCAGCCCGGTTTCTAGCCATAAAAAACATATACACTCATTAAAATATCATATATCACAATTACAAAAACAACTTTAAAAACACTATATATAAAACTACAGTGGTTAAGATGGATTCTACATCAACTTCCATCCAGGGTCCTATGGTGTTGTCTCATTCATTGAAGGCCTGACTCCACAGCCAGGTCTTCCCTCCAAAAACCCAAAAAGAGGGTGGGACCAGGGAACCTAACTATAATTGACAGGTGGCTTGCCCTATGATTGCAGCCAAAAGAAGCCACCTATCTTCAGAGTCTCTGAAACTTAGGACTACAACAAACATTCAATGCAAAGCAAACAAAATAGGAGCTCCTGGTACAGTTGTACCAGCACAGGTGTTCATCTCAATTTCTCAGCCGAAGAGCCGGCGTTGTCCATTGACACCTCCAAGGCCATGAAGTGCCGTTACCTTCTCGCTGGAGTGGTACCTATTTATCTACTCACATTTATATGTTTTCAAACTGCTAGGTTTGCAGAAGCTGGGGCTGACAGTGGAAGCTCACACCGTTCCCCCGATTCGAACCTGAGACCTTTTGGTCAACAAGCTCAGCAGCTCAGCGGCTTAACTTCACTGTGCCACCAGGTGGACTGCCTCTTAAAGTGGAAGCTCTATCCACACACTTGTAAACCCATATTTATTCCTTACTTTATTAAAACACCAGTGTTTTAAAACAGCATAAAATCACTTAGAATATGACAATTATTTATTATTTATTTATTTCGGTTGCTTCTACCCCGCCCTTCTCACCCCGGGGGGACTCAGGGCGGCTTACAAAAGCAAGGCACAATTCGATGCCCGCATCACATAACAACAATAAGGCAAATAACATCACTTAACAGAAACAGCATATCTAGCAGTAACATCAATTAACAGAAGACAATAATTATTGTAGGCAAAAACAACCATAACCAATAAAAGCAGTAAAACCAATACAAACAATTTCTCCTCATTGACGGTCAGCGTTTTGCAATCTCATAGTTCAAATTCCAATTCCACAATTGTCAGTCCTTTCAGTCCTATCCATCTGGTTGTCCATATCTAGTTGTCAGATTGCCCAAAGGCCTGGTCCCACAACCACGTCTTTACCTTCCTCCTGAAGGAGAGGAGGGATGTTGATGCCCTAATTTCCCCCGGAAGTGAGTTCCACAGGTGAGGGGCCACCACTGAGAAGGCCCTGCTCCTTGTCCCACCAGCCTCACTTGTGATAGTGGTGGGGTCGAGAGCAGGGCCTCCCCAGATGATCTCAAATTCCGGGGTGGGACGTAGAGGGAGATACGTTCGGACAGATACACTGGACCGGAACCGTAAAGGGTTTTGTAGGTCAAAACCAGCACCTTGAATTGTGCTCGGAACTGAACCGGCAGCCAGTGGAGCTGACACAACAGGGGGGTGGTGTGCTCCCTGTATGACGCTCCGGTGAGCAATCTGGCTGCCGCTCGCTGGACCAGTTGAAGTTTCCGAACAGTCTTCAAGGGCAACCCCACGTAGAGTGCGTTGCAGTAGTCTATTCGGGATGTAACAATAATAATATACATCACACACTCTGCTGTGTATGTGTCTAACCCCTTTTCCAAGTTATATGTAGCTAGTGACCTCCAAAAGTGACTTACATCTTGTGTAGACATCCTACCTTACAGGACTATTGCAATAGAATAAGGCTGAGATATTGGGTCATGGATCACACTGCAAATCCTAAGCAGTATTGAAGAAATCTAAGGAAACTGTAATAACTCTTATCTGGGCAAGAATGCTCCGATGTGTATTGAGCACTTTCGATGTAGATTGGGATCTTCTGATGAACATTGGTTGCCCCTACTGTGCTTTGACACTTCCTAGCTAGTATCTTGATGTACATCGGACCACTGTGAATGTCACTCCAATGGCCACCACAGAGATCTTGTAAAACTACAACTCCCAGGACTGTGTAGCATTAAGCTGTAGCAGTCAAAGTGGCATTAAAATGCATCAATTCTACTGTCCTGATGTACCCAAAGGCTTTTGCCATATACATAGTGAGCAATGTCAACTGCAATGGACACCAGAGATGTCCTGGAAGCCCCTTGGTTAAACGTTGCGAACTACAGTAAAGCAATCTCTCTGCATTTGCAGGGTTGACCTTAACAGAATGGATTGTGTTGTCGAAAGCTTTCATGGCCAGAATCACTGGGTTGCTGCAAGATTTCTGAGCTGTACGGCCATGTTCCAGAAGCATTCTCTCCTGACTTTTCACTTGCATCTATGTCAGGCATCCTCAGAGGTTGTGAGGTCTGTTGGAAACTAGGAAAATTGGGTTTTTATATCTGTGGAATGTCCAGGGTGGGAGAAAGAACTCTTGTCTGTTGGAGGTAGGTGTGAAGTTTCCATTGGCCACCTTGATTAGCATTTAATGGCCTAGCAGTTGTCAAGGTATTGCTTCTTACTGCCGGGGGATGTCCTTTGTTAGGAGGTGATAAGCTGTCCCTGATCGTTTCTTGTCTAGAGCTCTGTCTTTATTTACTGTTATAGAATAATAGAATCATAGAGTTGGAATTGTAATGCATATGTTGCATTACAATTCTCTTTCTCTCATGTACATACTCATTTGTATATAAGTCCATACAAAGAGGCTTCAATCCAGACATCTGTGAACGAAATCTGGCCCTCCAGGTGTTTTGGACTCCAACTCCCACAATTCCTAACAGCCGGTAATCTGATGTTGGGTTTGTATCTTCCCACAGTTCCAAGTCAATGAGAAAACCTACTTCAGGAACATCCTCAACAGCATCAAATTCAGCATCAAGCTGTCTGTGAAGAAGATCTGTCAGGAGGTGGACAAGTTGGCGTAAGTGTCTCTTCTTCAAAATGCATGGTTGGAATTGCTTTTGGAGCTTTCATCTGCAGCTATCCAAGTGGTCAGAAGCCTCTCCAACTTGGGCCCTCCAGGTGTTTTGGACTTCAACTCCTACAATTCCTAACAGCCGGTAGGCTGTTAGGAATTGTGGGAGTTGAAGTCCAAAACACCTGGAGGGCCGAAGTTCTCCCATGTCTGTGTTATAGGAGACAAAGGTGTTCTGTACAGTTGGGGGTGATTACTTTCAGCTGATCCAGTCCCGTGATCTTCCTCCTGGATTATTCTAGAGTCCTTGCCATGGTACCGACTTCCCCACTTTAGGATGGAGCTATATTTCGGGGACTTTGTCCTGCCAACGAAGGGCACAGAGTCTTCAAAGGACAGCCAACCATAGGACTGGCAGACCTGCATAAAGGACAGGTGTTGTCTCATCCATCAAAATTGGTTGGATTTCCCCCCATTCTCATTTAGGGTTCAAAGTAGCCAGGTGTGCCATAGTATAAAGATAACAGAGATAAGGGGGAGGGAGGGGGAAGAGAGCAACGTACGAAATGATTGGCACATCGATGGGTGTGATGACCTATATATTTCAAGGGCGCCTTTATAACAAACTAGCTTGGGGACCAGGTGGTGCCGGGGTTATTTGAGAAAGGCATTGTTTGTCTCTGCTCCAAGTTTAGTCTAGATCCAATGTCAGCTGGGTTTCGTCGATACGGGTGAACTCTAACTCCAATATGCAAGTACCATCATCCATGGTCAATCCTCCTCCAAACCACAATAGGATGGGGTCTCTGTTTGCCAAGTTTGGTCTTGGTCATTGGATGAGGGTTGCAATGGTCAGACGAAGTGAGTGAAGGTACTGCAAGTCCCATCGTCCACGATCCACTCACCCACAAACAGACCAGAATGTAGAGTGGGTCATGGAGGCTCTGTATGCCAAGTTCGATCTTGATCAGTCAATGGTGTGGGTCACAATGGTCTCAGGAAGTGAGTGAAGGTACTGCAAGTCCTATCATTCATGGTCAGTCCTCCTTCAAATTACACCAGGATGTAGAGTGGGTCATGGGGGCTCTGTGTGCCAAGTTTGGTCATTGGCTGAGGGTCGTGGTGGTCCCAGGATGTGAGTGAAGGTACTGGAAGACCCATCATCCATAGTCTGTCCTCCAAACTGAACCAGGATGTAGAGTGGGTCATGGTGGGTCTGTATGCCAAGTTCGATCTTGATCAGTCAATGGTGTAGGTCGTAATGGCCTCAGGAAGTGAGTGAAGGTACTGCAAGTCCTAACATTCATGGTCTGTTCTCCTTCAAACTGCACCAGGATGTAGAGTGGGTCATGGGGGGCTCTATTTGCCAAGTTTGGTCTTTATCGGTCATTGGTTGAAGGTCGTAATGGTCTCAGGATGTGTGTGAAGGTACTGGAAGACCCATCGTCCATGGTCTGTCCTCCTCCAAACTGAACCAGGATGTAGAATGGGTCATGGTGGGTCTGTGTGCCAAGTTTGGTCTTGATCAGTCATTGGATGAGAGTCACAGTGGTCTCAGAAAGTGAGACCATCCTCCCCCAAACTGTACCAGGACATAGAGTGGGTCATGGGGGTTATGTGTGCCAAGTTTGGTCATTGACTGAGGGTCATAGTGGTCTCAGGATGTGAGTGAAGGTACTGGAAGACCTATCATCCATAGTTTGTCCTCCAAACTGAACCAGGATGTAGAGTGGGTCATGGTGGGTCTGTGTGCCAAGTTTGGTCTTGATCAGTCATTGGATGAGAGTCGCAGTGGTCTCAGAAAGTGAGACCATCCTCCCCCAAACCATACTGGGAGGGTGGGTCATGGGGGTTATGTGTGCCAAGTTGGGTCCAGGTCCGTCACCTGTGCGGGTTGCAGTGGCCTGTGGAAGTGCCAGCCAGTCAGAAAGCTGCCACATACACTGCTGCATACAAACATACATATAACAATTCACTTTTATTATAGACTAGCTTGGGGACCTGGTGGTGCCCAGGTTATTAGAGAAAGTGGATAATGAGGGCTCTGTGTGCCAAGTTTGGTCTTGATCAGTCATTGGATGAGGGTTGCAGTGGTTACAGTAAGTGAGTGAAGATACTGCAAGTCCCATCATCCATGGTCCACCCTCCTCCAAACTGCAGCAGGATATAGATACAGATTGTAAAGATGCTTATTGGGGCATGGACAAGAGCATCTCAATGCACGTTGGTCTCATTCAGTATTGGTCCCAACACACATTGGTCCCATTATGCATCCGTTTCAATGCACATTTGTATTAGAATCCTAGAGCTGGAAGCGACCATCCAGTCCAACCCCATTCTGCCAGGCAGGAAGATACAATCAAAGCCCTCCTGACAGATGGCCATCCAGCCTTTGCTTAAGACTGCCAAATAAGGAGACTCGACTGGACTCCCAGGCCATATAAAATCCAGATGATCTGCTTTGAACTTGATTATATGGCAGTGTAGACTCAGATAATCCATTTCAATGAAGATAATACGAATCTGCTTTCATAATCTGGATTATATGGTAGTATAGTTGCGAACAATTTCAGCAATTGTCTAAGGCTTTCATGGCCGGAATCACTGGGTTGTTGTAGGTTTTTCCGGGCTATATGGCCAGTAGGAATTAAAGTAAAGACACACACCACCACCCAAATAAATCCAATTTCTTTCTTTTCCAACATCCAAGCCTCTCCCCCAGCAATTTCAACAATTATTTCCTGGCTCGGTACAGTAATCTCTGCCCCTCCGCCTTCCTTCCCCCTTTCTTGCGTTCTTTTCTTCTTCCATCTATAAACCTACAAAGCTTGAGCTTTTCCCTTTCCTTTCTTGACAATTTTCTGTCTGCGTTTACCCATTCAACAATTTATCTTCAAAGGAAAACACACGCCTTATAGACAATAGTGCAACCAAAGCAATAACACCTCTTTAGGCTAATACTCTCATTTTCAGAGGCTAACGTGCACATTATTATGATAATGATTATGTCAGAACTGAATAAAGATGAGTCACGGTTCTTCAAAACAAAACAACTGTTCTTTAATCCCTTTAGTTGAAAAGTGTTGGGTTTCCTTAGGATGCAATCCTGCAGCACGAACATTGAGTTGGGCGCTGTTAAAAGTGACAGCCAGAATATTTTGATCATTTATGCTCCCATAGCATAGCTTTGGGAAGTGGCATGGCATAATGTCTGAGCATTGGACTATGGACCACTGAGCATTGGCCAGGGACCCTTGACCAGGGACCACTGTGACCAGGGCCCACTGTGACTGGGCCCACTTTGACCAGGGACAACTTTGACCACAGCCCATTTTAAACAGGGACCATTTTGACCAGGGACCACTTTGACCCGGGCCCACTGAGACTGAGGCCCACTGTGACTGGGGCCAATGGTGACCAGGGATGACTTTGACCACAGGCCATTTTGACCAGGGACCAGGAACCACTTTGACCAAGGACCACTTTGACCAGGGACCACTCTGAGTGAGACCCACTGTGACCAGGGCCCCACTTTGACCAGGTATGACTTTGGCCACAGCCCATTTTGACCAGGGACTACTGTGACCGGGGCCCACTGTGACCAGGGACCATTTTGACAAGGGCCACTTTGACAAGGGCCACTTTGACCAGGGACCACTTTGACCACAGCCCACTTTGACCAGGGACTACTGTGACCGGGGGCCACAGTGACCAGGGACCATTTTGACCAGGGCCACTTTGACCAGGGACCACTTTGACCACAGCCCATTTTGACCAGGGACTACTGTGACTGGGGCCCACTGTGACCAGGGACCACTTTGACCAGGGACCACTTTGACCACAGCCCACTTTGACTGAGGTCCACTGTGACCAAGGCCCATTGTGACCGGGGCCCACTTTGACCAGGGATGACTTTGGCCACAGCCCATTTTGACCAGGGACTACTGTGACCGGGGACCACTGTGACAAGGGACCATTTTGATCAGGGACACTTTGACCAGGGACCACTTTGATCACAGCCCACTTTGACCAGGGACCACTCTGACCAGTGACCACTTTGACCACAGCCCATTTTGACCAGGGACCACTGACCACAGCCCATTTTTACCAGGTACTACTTTGACCAGGGAACACTCTGACCAGTGACCACTTTGACCACAGCCCACCTTGACCACATCCCACCTTGACCAGGGACCACAGGAACCACTTTGACCACAGCCCACTTTTACCAGGGACCATTTTGACCAGGGACCACTCTCCAACATTACCAAAAGGGTTACAAATTAGTTTTTGGTCAACTTTAGATTCGTTTGGTTATTTGGGGTGCTGATTCAGAAAAGTGCATTGGATAGACCACATCAGCTCTAGTTTCTGATACAGAACATATGCCATCCAGTAGTCACCATCTGCTTGCCCACAGAAAACCATATTTAATAACCTAGAGCTGATGTGGTAGTAATAATCTTTCGTAGGTAGTCAGCCTCTCCCTTTCCAACATCTCCATTGCCTTGGCACTATCAGAGGCTTTCGCACTCTCATTGCAATAGTGTAGTTATGGTGAGGCCACGGACCATATTTTCATTCTTGAAGACCACTGGTGATGTTGGGAACCACTGGTCTACAGTGTAGAATGAATGCACTTATTACCATGTTAACTGCTTGATTATATTGGATCATGGGGGTTGTACCTTCTCTGTCAAAGAGTCCTGGTGCCTCACCAAACTACAACTCCCCTTCATCTTCCAGGTGTCCAGCACAGTTATGCTTATTAAGTGATACTTCACCAATGAACAGTGCTGTTTTTGCTACTGCATGCAATGTATGTTTTGCATGCAAACATGCTGCATGGAAGCATATGTTTTGCATCTATTCTGAAGCTTATCAACTCAACTTTTAGACATTGAAATTTTGGGAGCATCTACACCAGGCATGGACAAACTTTATCCCTCAATATGTTTTGGACTTCAACTACCACAATTGTGAGAGTTTAAGTCCAAAACACCTTGAGGGCCGAAGTTTTCCCATACCTGATCTTGGAGCTCTGAGCACAAAATCTGATTGTTCAAAAGTACTTAAACAAGAGGAAATTGCCAAAATAATTACATCCAGGTTGGCTGAGTTAAATGCAACAGCCAGGTTCAACACCTGTGACTTCTCCCTGGAGGAAGTGTCGGAAATAAATGTGCTTCATTATAAATCAGGGAAAAAATTATCTTTCTCTGCAAATATTCTCCAAATGTGTGGCCATCTGCTGAATATTTGTCATGTGCTGATAATTTTTCAATATTTGATAATGTTTCATTAATTTGACACGGGATGATTGCTGCACGCAATCGCGTTTACAATTAAAACGGATTCAATTATGTCCGCCAGTGTTTGGAAGCCGAGCAGCTTAAGCAAATTCATATTTAATGCCTCCCTGAGACAAACCAATCTCGAGGGCCCAGCTGCTCTTCTGATATTAAGTCAGCTCTTCACAAGTGAAGGGTGAATTCAAATTTCATACATTTCCTCGTTAAAACGTAAACTGGAATCATTCCGCAGAGTTTGAATATTCGCAAACATTGGTTTGGGCTGCAGAGCAGATCCTTTGAGGAGGAGTGCCCCCCTCTTCTGACCAAATGGGGTATTGCAGATCATAGCTCACCCTCTGGTTGTAGACTGTGAAGTTGTCGTATAGGTTCACAATGCACTCGGCCTTCTTCAGGAACTTGCTGTAGGAAGCGTCCGTCCACCAATGCACCAAGTTACCGTGCCGGTCATATTGACCTCCTGCAAAGCAATCGGCCAAAGAGTGTCCATGGAGGATTCCATTTGCAAATGTCTCTGGTTCAGGCAATAACAACAACAACAACAACAACAACACTTTATTTATATTCCGCCATTCTCTCCACGAAGGGGACTCAGGGCGGATCATAATACACATACATGGCAAACATTGAATGCCGCTTTGTATAGACCAGTGTTTCTCAACCTGGGGGTCGGGACCCCTGAGGGGGTTGCGAAGGGGTGTCAGAGGGGTCGCCAAAGACCATCAGAAAACACAGCATTTTCTGATGGTCATGGGGATTCCATGTGGGAAGTTTGAGCCAATTCTATCATTGGTGGAGTTCAGAATGTTATTTGATTGCAATGAACTATAAATCCCAGCAACTACAGCTCTCAAAAGTCAAGGTCTATTTTCCCCAGGCTCCACCAGTGTTCACATTTGCGCATATTGAGTATTTGTGCCAAGTTTGGTCCAGATCCACCATTGCGTGAGTCCACAGTGCTCTCTGGATATAGGTGAACTACAACTCCCAAGCTCAAGGTCAATACCCACCAAACCTTTCCAGTGTTTTCTGTTGGCCATGGGAGTTCTGTGTGGCAAATTAGGTTCAAACCCATCGCTGGTGGAGTTCAGAATGCTCTTTGATTATAGGTGAACCATAAATCCCAGCAACTACAACTCCCAAATTACAAAATCAATCCTCCCACAATCCCACTAGCATTTACATGTGGTTCCAGTTTGGTCCAGTGAATGAAAATACATCTTGCATATCTGATATTTACATTATGATTTATAACAGTAGTAAAATTGCTGTTATGAAGTAGCCACGAAAACAATGTTATGGTTGGGGGTCACCACAACATGAGGGACTGTATTAAGGGGTCACAGCATTAGGAAGGTTGAGAACCACTGGTATAGACAGTACACAGACAGACAGAACAGAAAGGAGGTGTGTTGTTTCAATGATATAGAAGGTTGGGCTCGAGTCCAGCCACAGGGGGTGCTGTCACTCCATCCTCTATGGTTAAGAGCCATCTGGACTTCCTCCTTCCTTTTGGTGGCCCAGCATTTTCTGATCTTTCTTTATGGCATTGTAAAACACCTCCCCTGCTTTTAGCTGTACCTAATTTCTCTAATTACAGCTAAAGCTGTTTTCAAACTGCTTAGGTAAACAGTGAGCAGGGCTGACAGTCGGCTGCTCATGCTGACCTGGGGCTTCGAACTTGCAACTTTTCCATTGATAGATCTTATAGTTGCTGGTGATTTACCAGCTGTGCTAAACCTCCGGCCCCATAGACCATGGGAGCATGTATGAGGAATTGGCCTGCGCTGGTGCATGCAAATTGTGCAAGATATCTCTCCTTCCCAGATGTTTGGGGCTTAGAGGTTAATTTAAGAGTTTAAGAGCAAGAACTCACCCCAGTCATCGTAGCCATGGGTCAACTCATGCCCAATAATGGTGCCAATGCCACCGTAATTCAGAGACCTGTCAGCGAGAGAGAAACACTCTGGGTTAACAGGAGATCAAGCAGTATATGGTCAATAGCTCCCATGCCAGTGAGACAGTGATGCCCTCTGGATTTTAGTCTAACTTTGAAGATGGAGAGACTAGATTAAGGTCTAAGTTGAGGGAAGTCATAGTCCTGTTCTTTTCAACTTTGGTCAGACCTCACCTGGAATGATCCTATGTCCAGTTCTAGGCATCACAATCCAATAAAGATATTGACAAGCTGGAATATGGCCAAAGAAGGGTCATCAAAATAATCAAAGGTTTGGAAGCCAAGTCCTATGAGGAGCAGTTTAGGAAGCTGGGTATGGGTTGTTGTAGATTTTTCGGGATGTATGGTGATGTTCTAGCAGCTTTCTCTCCTGACGTTTTGCCTGCATCTATGGCAGGCATCCTGAGAGGTTGTGAGATCACCTCACAACCTCTGAGGATGCCTACCATAGATGCAGGCAAAACATCAGGAGAGAATGCTTCTAGAAAATTGCCATTCAGCCTGAAAAACCTAAAACACCCCAGTGATTCAAGGCATCAGAAAACAATTCGACAATACCTTGAAGCTGGGTATGTTTAACTTAGAGAAGGAAGGTCGAGAGGACATGATAGTTATGTTCAAATATTTGAAAGGAGGGCACGTTCAGAAGGGGGCAAGTGCTCTAGAAATTAGGACATGGAGAAATGGTTTTAAGCTGCAGGAAAAGATTTTTTTCTTAAACATTAGGAATAGCTTTCTGACAATAAGAGCTGTTCAGCAGTCAAACATGCTGCCTGGGAGTTTGGTGGAGTCTCTTTTTTGTGGAGGTGTTTAAGCAAAGTCTGGATAGCCATCTGATGGGATGACTTTGATTGTAGTTTCAGCAATGGTGGGTTTGTTGACATGTGGACACTGGATCAAGCCCAACCCAATTGACCAAAAACACTCCAGAGTAAATTCCAGTTCTCCCTTTGGAGTCGCAACCTTAACTATGAAAGCTTATGCTGCCAACTTTGTTCTCTTGGCTAATTTCTGTCTTTGCATACTCAGTACACCAGTGATATGGAAGCAGTTCCCCACCTTTGAATTGCCACCCCAACATCTTCTGCATTGTATTGTCGATGGCTTTCATGGCTGGAATCACTGGGTTGTTGTAGGTTTTTTCAGGCTATATGGCCATGTTATAGAGGCATTCTCTCCTGACGTTTTGTCTGCATCTAACTTCTGAGGATGCTTGCCATAGATGCAGGCAAAACATCAGGAGAGAATGCCTCTAGAACATGGCCATATAGCCTGAAAAAGCCTACAACAACCCATCTCCTGCATTGGCTTAACACTTTCACATTGTTACCACAATTGATTCCACTGTAATTGGTTTGAAATTCAGGAATGGATTCTTGATTTTTCCCAAATGACAGCAACCGGGGTTCCATTGGGTGCAGCCATGACAGTGGAACTGTATTGTGAAAAGGTTCCTGGTCACCACAACAAGCTTCAGGGGGCACTTACTGTGGGAACTCCGGGTCATAGAGAGTGGGTTGAAGGATCCCAGCTGGGAACACTGTGGAAAAAGGAGAGAAAGAGTTATATGAGAAAATGTATTTATTTACTTATTTATAATAAGTAAGCATTTATATTCCACCCTTCACACCTCGCAGAGGACTCAGGGCGGATTACAATGTACATATACATGGCAAACATTCAATGCCATAGACATACAACATATATAGACAGACACTCAGAGGCAATTTAACATTCCAGCTTTTCATGAGGGTAGTCTGGCCACCAGGGGAGCTGTCACTTCACCGTCCATTTGTGACACTGATGAAGTACTTCCTCATTGTTTGCATACTTGCTGGAGATTTTTATGGCCTCCTAAATTAGTTAAATTAGCCTCCCCACATAAGTGGTATCTACATTTCCTATTTGACAGATGCAGCTGTCTTTCAGGCTGCACAGGTCAACAACAAGCTACACAAATTGGTCGGAAGCTCATTCTGACATGGGCTGGCTTTGAACTCATGATCTTTTGGTCAGTAGTGATCTTAATGCAGCTGACTCCCAGCCAGCTGCGCCACAGTCCTCGTATCCTGTCAGCTTTTCCAGTTGTTTCTCTTCAATCCTGTTGTCACCTGGGATTGCAACATCACTGATCCATACTTGATTTTTTAACACAATCGTGAGGTCAAGAGTATTGTGCTCCAAAACTCTGTCAGCCTGAATTCGGAAGTCCCAGAGGAGTTTGACATGTCCATAACTTTTTCAGGCTTGTGATTTCACCAGTTCTTTGTCACATTATTATTATTATTATTATTATTATTATTATTATTATTATTATTACTATCAATCCTATTGTTTCCAATGAGGCTTAATGTTAGACAGTAGTAGTGACATGTGGCTTTTATGGAAGTGGAGAAGTGAAACTGCTCCAAATTTTAGACTACATTTCAAAGAAATTATCCAAGGCTATGGATCTATTTGGGGGGTGGACAGCATTCAGGATCTTAAAGTTCTCGTCAAAGTTGGAACTAAAACCTAGAATATATTCATTGCCTCACAGACATGGAAGCCACCCAGTTTCCACTGCTCCCAGGTAACTTACCACCACCATCATCATCATCATCATCATCATCATTTAATTACTTATTCATCGCCCTCCATCCAAGATGCTCTAGGCAATTTACAAGCTAAATTGTAAAGGATAAAAATACATACATACAGATATTGATAAAATTAACATAGATCAAATGCTCTAGTAAAAAGCCAGGTTTAAGTGCTAGGGTAAAAGGACCTAAATCATGCATGGCTCTCAAACAGGGAGGCAAGGAATTCCACAAGGCAGGGGCAGAAATAGAAAAAGCCCATCTGCGTCTGGTCCTTTCCAAGTGCACTTCTCTCGGACCCGGTATATAAAGTAAGTCGCGTTGGGCTGGTCGTTGCGACCTCCGATGATGGGAGAAGGAGAGACAGTCCCTAAGATACGATGGACCCTGGCCGTAAAGAATTTTAAAGGTCAGAACTAGCATCTTATATAGACCACGGTAATCAGTTGGAAGCCAATGCAAATGCCGCAGCACTGGTGTTATATGGCATTTCATGGGCATTCTTGTGAGTAACCTGGCTGCCGCATTCTGAACAATACGGAGCTTTCGGGTCGTAGACATCGGAAGGCCAACATACAGGGTGGTGCAATAGTCCAGCCTAGACGTGACCGTGGCATGGATGACTGTTGCCAGAGCCTCATCAGATAGGTAGGGTGCCAATTGCCTTGCTTGTCGTAGATGGAAAAAGGCCTGTTTGCTGGCAGCAGCGACCTGAGCTTCCATTTTTAGTTGCGAATCCAAAACGACACCCAAGCTCTTAATGGTAGGCGAAGGAGATAGGGCAGCACCATCGAAGGTGGGTAGCAAATGGATCAGACCAATTGAGCGGCCATGCCAGAGAATCTCAGTCTTTGCTGGGTTCACCTTCAGTCTACTAGCACATAGCCAGTTCGACAGAGCCTCCAGACATAAGGTGAAATTGTCTGGTATTGACGTTGCTCCAAGCGCAGGAGGAGTTGGGTGTCGTCCACATATTGATAGCAGTCCAGGCCAAAACTCCAAGCCAAACTTGCAAGGGGTCTAACGCAGATGTTGAAGAGAAGAGGGGAGAGAATTGCACCTTGGGGTAATCCACATAGGAGGGGAGATCTTTCAGAGACTTGATCCATATACTCCACGCATTGACTCCGGTTTCGGAGAAATGAGTTGAACCAATTGAGGGCCTGACCGCGAACTCCGGACATGGCAAGACGGTGAATCATTAGATCGTAGTCAACGGTGTCAAACGCTGTGGTAAGGTCAAGAAATACCAGTAGCGCCGATCTGCCGCTATCAGACTGGCGACGAAGTTAATCTGTAATGGCAACCAGGACTGTCTCCGTCCCATGGCCAGGGCGGAAACCTGACTGGAAAGGGTCCAGGCTGGCTATGCCATCCAGGAATTCCTGCAATTGTCCCAGTACAGGCCGCTCTATCATCTTGCCTAAGAATGGAAGGTTAGAGACAGGACGATAATTGGCAAGGGTCATGAGATCCAAGCTAGGCTTCTTTAGCAAGTGATGAACACTTGCCTCTTTTAGATTGTCCGGGAAGACTCCCTGTTCAAGAGAGCCATTGATTATATTACTCAACTGATCGAGTAGACCTTCCAGGCAGCTCTTAACCAGCCAAGAGGGGCACAGATCAAGGGAACAGTGTTATGGCAGTGTTATCTGGCAGCTGTATAATAACTCCAGTTTGGGTCCAGTTTGGTACAGCCTAATTATTAATTTAAATTAGTACACAATAAATAATGACAATGCATTGCTTGTGATAAAACAACAACAACAAATGGAGGGTGATATAAGACACAATAGCTTGCTATTTTTAAAATCCAAAAACAACCCAAAAGCTACCAAAATCTCTTGAAGTATGCTGAAGCAGCCCAATCCCTCCATAGTTATCCACCCTTCTGTATGTCAAGCCTTATAAAACACAGGTAATATCCCACTCTGGTTCATCATACCCATCTGGTTCTTGTTGGGAAGATAGTAAGCATTCAATGCCTGGGGAGGCAACAGCCACCTGCAATAAAAACACACACACGTGGATTAACAGATTTGTCTTAGGCCTCTTCTACACTATCAAAGCTTATAATCCAGATCATCTACTTTAAACTGCATTATATGAATCTAGGAAACTCCCGGCACATTTTACCTACCTGAAAGAACCCAAACATCACAACAAAGAGTAAAATCCCAGGACTGAACACTTCTTTTGAAGACAACCCATCCTCCAATAATGCGGGGGAAATTACATACAGATATAACAGCGCTCCATGCAGTCATGCTGGCCACATGACCTTGGAGATGTCTACGGACAATGCCGGCTCTTCAGCTTAGAAATGGAGATGAGCACCAGAGTCGGACACGACTGGACTTAATGTAAGGGGAAAACCTTTACCATATAAGGTTCTTTTATGTCCTCCTAAGGAAATGAAATGGGCTGAACCTGCCTTTTGCAGCCTCAAGGACATCAACAGAGGACTACTACCTGGGTGATTGTAATATCTTGTTTCCCTGAAAATAAGACAGGGTCTTGTATTAATTTTTGCTCCAAAAGATGTGCTGGGGCTTATTGTCAGGGGATGCCTTTCCCCCCAAATTGTTATATTTTATTTAATTGTAACTAGGCTTATTTTTGAAGGAGGGCTTCATGAAAAATTTTGGAAAATCATGCTAGGGCTTATTTTCAGGGTAGGTCTTATTTTTGGGGAAACAGGGTAGCTCATGTAAGTGACAGCTACCACCTACATTCCTTTAGAGCAGGCATGGGCCAACTTGAGCCCTCCAGGTGTTTTGGACTTCAACTCCCACAATTCCTAACAGCCTACCGGCTGTTAGGAATTGTGGGAGTTGAAGTCCAAAACACCTAGAGGGCCCAAGTTGGAGAGGCTTCTGACCACTTGGATAGCTGCAGATGAAAGCTCCACAAGCCATTCCAACCATGCATTTTGAAGAAGAGACACTTACGCCGACTTGTCCACCTCCTGCCGGATCTTCTTCACGGACAGCTTGATGCTGAATTTGATGCTGTTGAGGATGTTCCTGAAGTAGGTTTTCTCATTGACTTGGAACTGTGGGAAGACACAAACCCAAGGTCAGATTAATAGATTGCAAACTGGTTTGGCTTTTGGATGAAGGACGGAAGATAAATCCTCAAAACAAATAAACAAATCTATCTCAAGTCCAGGATTTAGGTCTTTCAGGACAGGGATAAAGCACCTGCTTGTTGTGCAGAGATCTCAGATATCACCAGCACGATCTGGGAATGATTTTCTTCAGAAATGCTGGAGATTTGCTACCATTCAGTATAAACAATAGATGTACCAATGGATCTATTCAGGATAAAACTACATCCCATACTTCTGTTCATTTATAATTGCAACGATGGTCCACCAACTCAACAAATATAATACAAAAATCTGAGATAGCTGCAAAACATCAGAATAAGTGAGAAGGTAATTAAAACTCATCAAATAGTCAAACTTAAAGGCATGGAGCTGCATTCATAGAGGTTTCAGGTAGGCTTCCCTGCTGAGAGAGAAATGTAATGCCACAACTGAGAAGGCCTTTGCACCTATTGGCACTTGTCTTTATTTATAGCTGGCTAATTAGATTTATAATTAGTTCATTGAATTAATCAGTCAATTGAAGACATGGAGTTAATTAACAATACAGACAGCCCACGTTTGCAAGTTTAACTTTTGCGGATTTGATTAGTCATGGAATTGATTGACATGTTTGCTCTAGGGAAGTCGAGGTCTTCCACTGCAACTCTATGGTGGTCTTCTGCCCCATCCCTACAAAAATAGATGCAGGCGAAACATCAGGAGAGAATGCTTCTAGAACATGGCCATATAGCCTGAAAAACCTACAACAATCTAGTTAATTGTAGACTGTTGTAGTTAATTTGTTGACTGCCAAGTTAGATAGATAATGCATTGACTGTATCTCTATTATATCATACTGGTTGAAAATACTACTCTAATGGACATGTGGTCACACACCTACTGAAGGGCTAAGTAGGTGGTGATGTGGAACTGAAGGGACAAGCAAAAGAAGAAGAGTCATGACAATAAAATAAACCTGAAAACATACACCTGAAGACAGTAGTCACTCATGAGGCCAATACATAGCTCCATTCTCCAGCATCTTCCCATCTCCTACCAACTGCTGCCCGAAGCTGCTTTCACTCTGCATAATGGTAAGGTCGATCCAAGTCCTAACAAGCATACTTGCCTCATATTCCTTGTCAATTGCTTCTGGGTTGAGCAGGAAGTCCGGGTAGCCGATCATCACCATCATATGCTGGAGCTGCAAGAGGAGAGAAACTTAAATATTTAACAATCATCTTAAGCCTCCTGAATAAATGAAATCATAATACAACAAAGCAAATACAATATAGGTATCACTGAAACCTGGTGGAATAAGTCTCGTGTTTGGAATGTTGTAAAAGAAGGGTATAACCCAGGCATGGGCAAACTTTGGCCCTCCGGGTATTTTGGGCTACAACTCTCACAATTCCTAACAGCCTACTGGCTGTTAGGAATTGTGGGAGTTGCAGTCCAAAACACATGGAGGACCCAAGTTTGTCCATGTCTGGTAGAACCTATTTCTAAGGAATAGACCAAACAGGAAAGGAGGAGTAGCAGCATAGTATGTCAAGAATATTGACACCTGTGAGGAGGCCCATGACGCAAATCCTGGAAGCCAGGTTGAGGGCATCTGGGTAAAAATTAAGGGGGAAAGAATCAACAGGCATGTCATTGTGGGGGTCTACTACAGATCTCCCAGCCAGAATGAGGACTTGGATGATATCTTCCTAGAATACAAGGTCCACACATTCAAAAAGGAGGGATGTGACAGTAACAAGAGATTTAGAATACCTTAATATTGGTTGGAAGGCGAACTATGTCAAGAATATCAGCTCCAACAAATTAAATTCTTCACTTGCCTTGCAGACAATTTCATGGTCCAAAAGGTGGAAGAGACAACGGGGGGGGGGGGGGGGGGGGGGGGGTTCAGTTCTTCTAGATCTGATCCTAACTAACAGTGATGACCTTGAGTTGCTGTGAGTTTTCTGGACTGTATGGCCATGTTCCAGAAGCATTCTATCCTGACATTTCACCCACATCTATGGCAGGCATCCTCAGAGGTTGAGGGGTCCCCTCAACCTCTGACCCCTCAACCTCTGAGGATGGCTACCATAGATGTGGGTGAAACCTCAGGAGAGAATGCTTCTGGAACATGGAGATATAGCCTGGAAAACTCACAGTAACCCAGTGATTCCAGCCATAAAACCTTTGACAACACAGTGATGACCTTATAAATGAGGTGGATGTAGTGGGTCCTTGGGTGGAAGTGACTATGTTCTAATAGAGTTTTGTGATGGCACACCTGAACCTTTGGGAAAACTAGTGTCTGGCTTTACTGGACTATCTGTATACCTTCTTTTAAGATTAAGACCCTTAGCAGACAAAGGCATTTTAGGCCAGGTGAAAAGATAACCAAAATAAGTTTACTGCAAACAAGAGCTGTTCAGCAGTGGAACTCTCTGCCCCGGAGTGTGGTGGAGGCTCAAACCCTACTTTAAGGAATGAATCAATTTTTAATCTTTTAATGTTTTTAATCTTGTAGTTGCACAATTATTTAGGAGTGGGTTGACAGGCCAGTAGGCTGGGATGCCTTGTATTCATATATGGTTTTACTGTATGTATGGGCAAGTGTGTATGTTTTTGTATGTTTTGCATGTTTTGATATGGTCAAAATTGACTAATCAATAAAGAATTGTTGTTGTGGTGGAGGCTCCTTCTTTGGAGGCTTTTAAACAGAGGCTGAGTGGCCATCTGTCGGGGTTGCTTTGAATGCAATATTCCTGCTTCTTGGCAGGGGGTTGGACTGGATGGCCCATGAGGTCTCTTCCAACTCTATGATTCTATGATTCTAAGATGAATAAAGGGTTAACTCCACCCGGGACTATCATAAGGTAACTTAAAACAGGAGCCTTTGCTGGTTGCAATAATCTCTCTGGAGTCTTCTGCCTCTGCTGCAAAGCAATGGTTATAAACTGTCTCAATCTTCTTTCTTGTGAAGCATAAGCTGGTCATAAGCTTCTGTTGTCCTTTGGACTGCTGGTATAAAAATACTGCTGAATGCAGGTGCTAAGGATGCCTGTTTTTTGGATTGCTTGGGCCTAAGATACCAGACAATACCCCAAGCCTCTCTTATTGTAGAAAAAGGAAGAGTCCAGCAAGAGAACTCTATACAGGGAAATGGAATAGACCAACTAACACTGGCCTCTGGGAGGATGTTAAACTCCACTCAAAACTAATACAAAGGAAGGTATCTACACTATTGGGAAAACCTATGAACGGGGGAACTGAAGCAGAGGAGAAGAGAAGGCAGAGCCAAGATGTCACAAGTTTGTTATTCAATGGAAAGGAGGAGTCAAGCATAGTCAGACATCCACTCTAGACCTTAAGAAAGATGACTTAAATAAATCTAAGGGCAAACCGAGTGTGATCCCATGGAATACTAAAGGAGAAGGAAGTGAATGATATATGGGAGATTCTTAAAAGTGAGATAATGGGAAAACTTGATGTGGAATGGGATGATTCAGCACAGCAATTTCAGATGTTTCAGCACATCCAGTTTTCTGCATTGCCATTTCATCTCATTGCAAACAGATGGGACAATGCAAGACCCAAAGTTACACCAAAAATTGAGAGGTGATTAAGAAGATAAATGAACATTCCCAACTTTCTTCACCAGCAAGTGTCGAAGTGGCAGAAATCTGTGATGGGGTGGAAGCTGCGAGCTGAAGAAACGGTGGAAGAAAAAGGCGAAATTATAAATGTCTGTATGACTAACGGAAGCTCGGAAGCTCATGCTGTGATTCCCTGAACCGAAGCCTTGGAAGGAAAAAAAACCCCACCCCAATCCATCAAAGATGAAATCAGTTCAAGGCAACACCTTTGGGTCCAGTCAGCCTGAATGAACTTGTATTGCCTGAGGCATACAAGACTTATTTGGTAATACCAGGCATCCAAGAGTCATTCTTGCATGATGATATTCGAAAAGATTCTTCTACTTGGTGAAGAAAATTGGCTGCAAATCCTGCAAACCTCGCACAACTTTGGTTATTTGACATTTGGTATGATGCTCCAATTTTACCTAATACACCAGAACAGAAAGCAATCTGGAAACAGTTCTGCATGCCACGCTGAAATGGCTAGATCAACGCATCCGACATCCAAGACGACGACCCACGGCCAATACCAGTGGAAAACACTGGGCTATTATTGATCTGTGACATTATTTATAAGGAAGGCACAATGGCATATCATAGAATCAAAGAGTTGGAAGAAACCTCATGGGCCATCCAGTCCAACCCCATTCTGCCAAGAAGCAGGAATATTGCATTCAAAGTACCCCTGACAGATGGCCATCCAGCCTCTGTTTAAAAGCTTCCAAAGAAGGAGCCTCCACCACACTCCGGGGCAGAGAGTTCCACTGCTGAACGGCTCTCACAGTCAAGCAGTTCTTTCTCATGTTCAGATGGAATCTCCTTTTTTGTAGTTTGAAGCCATTGTTCCGTGTCCTAGTCTCCAAGGAAGCAGAAAACAAGCTTGCTCCCTCCTCCCTGTGGCTTCCTCTCACATATTTATACATGGCTATCATATCTCCTCTCAGCCTTCTCTTCTTCAGGCTAAACATGCCCAGCTCCTTAAGCCGCTCCTCATAGGGCTTTTTTCTCCAGACGCTTGATAATTTTGGTCACCCTCCTCTGGACACATTCCAGCTTGTCAATATCTCTCTTGAATTGTGGTGCCCAGAATTGGACACAATATTCCAGGTGTGGTCTAACCAAAGTGGAATAGAGCATGGGGAGCATGATTTCCCTTAAATCCCACATAGTATTCTTCATTGACATGGACACTTGGTGTAATATTGGTTGCTGTGTACTAATCTTGTTGTGTTTCAAAGAAGAAGAAGAAGAGGAGGAGGAGGAGGAGGAGGAGGAGGAGGAGGAGAAGGAGGAGGAGGAGGAGGAGAAGCTTGGAGGCTTGGAGAGTGACTTTGGAGCCATGCATATCCTATATTGTCACCTATTCCTGGCCCCTCACCTTGGCTCTAGCTGCCCTCCGTGTTTCTTCATCCATCCAGTCCAGCTCTTCCAATCGTCGGTCCAGGATGTGCTTGATGTTTTCCACAAGCTGCTGCACCTGAAGGAAAGAGAACACCAATAATTATCACCCAGTTATGGATCACTTTTGCATGAAAGGAAGGGAGGTAAAGTCTGGCCATGAGATCTGGAAGTGGATAAGGGAGCTGGGTATGTTTAGTTTGAACAGAGAAGGTTAAGAAGGAACTTGAGAGCCACGTTTAACTACCGGCTTAAGCAGATGGGGGGAGAGGAAGGGGCCTGTTAGGAATTGTGGGTGTTGAAGTCCAAAACACTTGGAGGGCTGAAGTTTGTCCATGCCTGATATATATGCTCTCAATGGCCCTTCTTTAGGGGCTACCATACCCTCCCAATATTTCACAGATGAAAAGTCAAGTAGCATCACAATGTGATTTAGATGACAAATGCTGGGAAAAACAGAAAAGTCAGGAGAGGCTGCAGCAGCATGCTTTTGCCTGAGCCTACTGGGAAGGAAATGACTTGTCTCTCTCTTCTCCCCTGCTCTATTCATTGCGTGCTAATTATATTGTGCACTTTGAACTCAGTTTGCAGCAATGGAGGTAAGAAGAGGGCAAAGGGGGGAAAGTGGAAAGAGGTGGACAAAACCAGGACATTTTATATGCCACTGAAAAAATGACAACAGAGGATTAAGCTGGACTGTCCCTTCCAAATTGAGACATTTAGAGATTATAGGTTTTCTTATAGATAAAAAACACAACCTGTGTATGTTTGCACTCGCAAAACTCGAAACGTAGTTGGTCAATTGACTTGACATTTTGACACAACCTTGGATTCCAACCCCCATGACCCACTTTACATTCTGGTGCGGTTTGGAGGAGGATGGACCATGGATGATGGTATTTGCAGTACCTTGACCTGAATTGCCTCCAGCAGACCACTGCGACCACCACGAATGAAGGATCTGGACCAAGCTTGGCACACAGACCCCCCCCCCCGATCCACTTTACATCCTGGTGTGGATTGCGGGAAGATGGACCACGAATGATGGTATTTGCAGTACTTTCACCTGAATTGCCTCCAGCAGACCACTACGACCCCCACGAATGAGGGACCTGGGCCAACCTTGGCACACAGACCCCCCCATGACCCACTCTACATTCCGGTACGGATTGCGGGATCATGAATTATAGTATTTGCAGTACCTTCATCTGAATTGCCTCCAGCAGACCACTGCGACCCCCACGAATGAGGGACCTGGACCAACCTTGGCACACAGACACCCCCCCCCCAATGACCCACTCTATGTCCTGGTACGGATTGCGGGATCATGAATTATAGTATTTGCAGTACTTTCACCTGAATTGCCTCCAGCAGACCACTGCAACCCCCACGATGAGGGACCTGGGCCAACCTTGGCACACAGACCCCCCCCCCCCATGACCCACTCGATGTTCTGGTGCGGATTGCGGGAAGACTGACTATGGATGATGGGATTTGCAGTACCTTCACATGAATTGTCTCCTGCAGACCACTGTGTCCATCATGAATGAATGACCTGGACCAAACTTGGCACACAGACCCCCCCCCCCCCCCGATCCACTTTACATCCTGGTGTGGATTGCGGGAAGATGGACCACGAATGATGGTATTTGCAGTAACTTCACCTGAATTGCCTCCAGCAGACCACTGCAACCCCCACGAATGAGGGACTTGGGCCAACCTTGGCACACAGACCTCCCCATGACCCACTCTACATCCTGGTGCGGATTGCTGTAAGACCAACTACAGATGATGGGATTTGCAGTACCTTCACATGAATTGCCTCCAGAAGACCACTGCGACCCCCAAGAATGAGGGACCTGGACCAACCTTGGCACACAGACTCCCCATGACCCACTCTACGTCCTGGTGCAGATTGCGGGAGGACCGACTATGGATGATGGGATTTGCAGTACCTTCACATGAAATGCCTCCAGCAGACCACTGCGACCCCCAAGAATGAGGGACCAGGACCAACCTTGGCACACAGACCCCCCCCCCCCCGCCCAATGATCCACTTTACATCCTGGTGCAGATTGCAGGAGGACCAACTATGGATGATGGGATTTGCAGTACCTTGGCCAAAATTATGCAATGGCACATGATTAGTAGTTAAAAATTGAAGAACAATTTAATTGAAACAACAATTCTGAATGGACCTCATAAAGGTGAAGACGTACTACTTCCATGAATACCACTCATCCTGACCAACATGGCGTTCGAGTTCAAATTACTTCAATTTTCAATGCGTGTTGCATTCGCTATGACTATCAATTCGTATCAGACTGAGCCACAGCAAAGCATGGCTGGGTATATCTAGTTCGAAATATAACTTCAGAAAATTCCTGAACTAAAACTCACATCATTCATTTTTTCTCTCTCCAGCAAATGGTGTGAGATTTTCAGCTCTGGGAATCTCTGTGGTTAAATTTCAAATAGCCTTTGAAGGAGGCTAAAACACTTTGGGTTGATGATCAGTAAATCATTCCTCTATTGAGTACTTTGGGATGCGTCTCAGGTTCTTTCTAAAGATTTCATGGGGCATTTCTGTGTTTTTGCTTCCTCGGTTTTAGAGGACACAATTTGAACTTGGCTTAATGTGGGTTCAATGGAAATCTTCCTGGTTTATTTACTCACGCTGCCATGGGACTGTGTGCACAGCCTCTCATCCCAGTCTATTAACCTGAGATATGATCATCTCCGCAGAGCCAATGTCAAACCGCTGGATTTATGCGGCTTTTAAAATGCTGTCCTGCGGCCCTCTCCTCCTGCTCTATTCTATTAAGTCTTTATTGCCACTGTCTTAATATTTTTACAAACCAATGTAGGAGGTTGTATACCTGAAAAGTGGGTATATAAATGCTTTAAACAAAATAGTAAATCAGTGAAATGCCCCTCATAAAAACTTAAGGGTGGGAAGGGAACCCAAGGGCCATCTAGACCAACCCCGTGCTATGTAAGAAGATTCAACTAAAGCACTCCTGAAAGATGCCCGTGCAACAGAGATGGGCCAAAACTAACAAAATGCAGTTCAACAGGGGCAAATGCAAGATACTCCACTTAGGCAGAAAATGCTATATGCCTGCTATATGCCTGTGAGACGTGGACTGTCTACAGGCGCCACACGCACCTCCTGGAACGATTCCATCAGCGCTGCCTCCAGAAAATCCTGCAAATCTCTTGGGAAGACAGGCGGACAAACGTCAGCATTGAAGTGATGGTCCTCCGCCATCAACTCCGCTGGACCGGCCACGTTGTCCGGATGTCCGACCACCGTCTCCCAAAGCAGTTGCTCTACGCCGAAATTAAGAACGGAAAATGGAATGTTGGTGGACAGGAAAAGAGATTTAAAGATGGCCTCAAAGCCAACCTTAAAATCTCTGGCATAGACACTGAACTGGGAAGCCCTGGCCCTTGATTGCTCCAGCTGGAGGTCAGCTGTGACCAGCAATACTGCAGAATTTGAAGAGGCATGAATGGAGGGCGAAAGGGAGAAGCGTGCCAAGAGGAAGGCGCATCATGCCAACTCTGCCCTCACTGCGGAAGAAGATGCAGATCAAGAATAGGGCTCCACAGCCATATACAAACCCACATGAACACTGGAAGACAATCATCCTCGGAAAACGAGGGATCGCCTAAGTAAATAAGTAAGTAAGTAAGTAAGGCAGAAAAAACGAAATGCAAAGATACAGAATGGGGGACAATGCCTGGCTCAAGAGCAGTACGTGTGAAAAAGATCTTGGAGTCCTCGTGGACAGCAAGTTAAACATGAGCCAACAATGTGATGGCCAACGGGATTTTGTCCTGCATTAATAGGAGCATAGTGTCTAGGTCCAGGGAAGTAATCCTCCCCATGCTCTATTCCGCTTTGGTTAGACCACACCTGGAATATTGTGTCCAATTCTGGGCACCACAATTCAAGAGAGATAGTGACAAGCTGGAATGTGTCCAGAGGAGAGCGACTCAAATGATCAAGGGTCTGAGAACGAGCCCTATGAGGAGCGGCTTAAGGAGCTGGGCATGTTTAGCCTGAAGAAGAGAAGGCTGAGAGGAGATATGACAGCCATGTTTAAATATGTGAGAGGAAGTAACAGGGAGGAGGGAGCAAGCTTGTTTACTGCTTCCCTGGAGACTAGGACGTGGAACAATGGCTTCAAACTACAAGAAAGGAGATTCCAGCTGAACATTAGGAAGAACTTCCTGACTGTGAGAGCTGTTCAGCAATGGAACTCTCTGCCCCGGAGTGTGGTGGAGGCTCCTTCTTTGGAAGCTTTTAAACAAAGGCTGGATGGCCATCTGTCAGGGGTGCTTTGAATGCAATATTCCTGCTTCTTGGCAGGGGGTTGGACTGGATGGCCTATGAGGTCTCTTCCAACTCTTTGATTCTATGATTCTATGTGTTCAAAACCCTCAAAGATGGAGATTCAAAATCCTCCTTCCTGAGGAGTTCACTGTTGTGCAGATTTTGCAGTAAAACAAATCTTCCTACTGTTTAGGTGGAATCTCTCATCATTGTTTAGGTGGAATCTCTTTTCTTGTCATTTGAATCCGTTGCTTTATGTCCTGGAGTGCTTTGCTATATATTTCTGCACAGCAGTGGTTTGCACCTGATAACTCTTGTTATTTCATCAGACCGTTTGATTCCATGGTTCTCGTCCTCATATGAAAACCAAAACCTCCACAACCTATGTGCTTCTAGTTGGCTTTCCCCTATATTCCTGGCTACAATTAATCCACAAATCCCAGGTTTTGGAGAAGAAATATGTGCCAGGAATCTAATATGTGAATACATCAGATTGCTGTGAGTTTTTTGGGCTGTATGGCCGTGTTCCAGTAGCATTCTCTTCTGACGTTTCACCTGCATCTGTGGCTGGCATCTTCAAGTTGCCAGCCACAGATGCAGGCAAAACGCCAGGAGAGAATGCTACTGGAACATGGCCTGAAAAACTCACAGCAACCCAGTGATTCCGGCCATGAAAGTCTTCGACAACACAGTGAATACATCTCTTTGCTGTTATGGGTTTTAGGGCCAAAAATGTCTCACTTCTCTTGCCCAGTAGATCTTGGTTCCTTTTCTGCTTCCTCAGTGTCACAAGGGTCTGTTTTCCCCAGGCAATGGAAGGAAGGTACTGGGCAAAACAGAGACACATGGCACGCAGGAAAATGAGGAGGAACTGGCTCTGCATGCACCTGCAATGTCACTCACTCTATGGATCAGGCCCCTTTTCCCCCATTCCTGTGTGCTGCATGTTTCCGTTCTGCCTGTAATGTCCTTCCTTTGCCAGTGCAAAGGAGATGCTTGTGGCATGCAGAAAAAGGAAAAGGAGCTGGATCTAGAGAAAATGAAATGTCATGCATAGCCGCTTCCTCCTCTTCCTGCATGCCACAAGTGTCTGTATTGCACAGGCAAAGAAAGGGAGATATAGGATAGGGCTGCTGTATGAATATACACCGGTTGAATGAAAAGTAATGCCTCCACCTTCGTAACTCCTCAACAGATGGCAGTATTGGTATGTGGCATGTGCTGCCTTGTTCAGTAGACTCTCCTCTACAGTTCCATTTTGGCAGGAGGCCTTAGCATTAAACAGTTGTGTTGTTAAAGTGCAAAGTATGGAACCCTGCGCAGACGGTCGGTCAACATGCAGTCATTGAATCCTTGACATCAGAAGGTGTCAACCCACACAAATTCCTGGAGCCAAAACACAGTAAGGACAAGGTCCCACTGTATGTCTGATGTTAAACCAGGCATGGGCAAACTTAGGCTCTCCAGGTGTTTTGGACTTCAACTCCCACAATTCCTAACAGCCTCCCGGCTGTTAGAGGGCCCAAGTTTGCTCATGTATGTGTTAGCCTATAAACCCCAAATTATACTCACACCAACACAATCACCATAAACAGCTTGCATTCTCTGATGGGTAAATGAAAAGTAATGCCTCCACCTTCGTAACGCCTCAGCAGATGGCAGTACTGGTATGCAGCAGGTACTGGCTTGTTCAGTAGACTCTCCTCTGCAGTTCCATTTTGGCAGAAAGTCTTAGCATTGAATGGTTGTGTTGTTAATGTGCGAAGTATGGAACCCTGCACAGACGGTCGGTCAATGCGACTTAAGCAACGTGCAGTCATTGAATTCTTGACAGCAGAAGGTGTCACCCCAAAGGAGATTCATCAGGGATTGCAACCTGTTTATGGTGATTGTGTTGATGTGAGTACTGTGCGTCGTTGGACGAATAAGTGTAAAGATAATGAGGTGGGAACATCTGACAAATAGTTGGACGTCCTGTGACAGTAACCACTGAGTTTCGCAAGCAAAAGTTTGACAGATTGATTCAGGACGATCGTCGTATCACTCAGAGAGAAATTTCAAGCATAATCAGCATTTCACAAGAACATGTGGGTCACATTATTGCTTTGCTTGGCTGTCAGAAGATCTGTGTAGGTTGGGTTGCGGAAACAGTGTTGACTTCTTCCTTGATGGCTTCAGAAAACTTGTTCATCATTGGCAGAAATGTATCCAATTGTCTGGTGATTATGTGGAAAAGTGAATAGTGGTAGTTAAAGAGCACATTCTAAGGATTATTTCTGCGTTTGATTTATTAAAATATTCCCATCCAAACCCAAGTAACGAATGTGGAGGCATTACTTTTCATTCAACCCTCGTACATATGGCAGCCCGAAATCTGGGAAGCAAGGGTAGCAGTACAAGCTTGCAAATAACAAAAAACGCATGTGTGAAACCCACAAAAATGAACGAATGTCTGTATATTGATGTCATTAGTGAAGAAGGGGGTTTTACGCAACTATTGCCACCTCTAACAAAGCAAAGGCAGTGGTTTTTATTGGGGCAAGTTCTTCGTCTGTCTGGAGACATCCCATAACTGTCACCTCCTTTGTTTCTGAAAACCTTAAAGACTGAATCCTAGAATTATTATCTACATTTACAAGGCAGGCAATAAAAAAACAGATCAGTGACTACAGAGCAATCTATTTTATATGTAATGTAATCTAAAGCACCCCGAGTGCATGCTAACTCCTTCTTGTATTGATTAAAAGGCTGGGGCCAAGCAAAACAGCCATTTCCCTCCCAAGAAGGACAGACAGGAATTTTATTTTTTACCATAGTCATTGACTTGAAGGCTGCCTTCAATTCTATATGTGATGATATAGAATTCATCACATCTTGGAAAGAAGTGATGAGTGGAGTGCCACAGGGTTCCGTCCTGGGCCCGGTTCTGTTCAACATCTTTATTAATGACTTAGATGAAGGGCTAGAAGGCATGATCATCAAGATTTCAGATGACACCAAATTGGGAGGGAGAGCCAACACTCCAGAGGACAGAAGCAGAATTCAAAATGATCTTGACAGATTGGAGAGATGGGCCAAAACTAACAAAATGAAGTTCAACAGGGACAAATGCAAGATACTCCACTTAGGCAGAAAAAACAAAATGCAAAGATACAGAATGGGGGACAATGCCTGGCTTGAGAGCAGTACGTGTGAAAAAGATCTTGGAGTCCTCGTGGACAACAAGTTAAACATGAGCCAACAATGTGATGTGGCAGCAAAAAAAGCCAATGGGATTTTGGCCTGCATCAATAGGAGCATAGTGTCTAGATCTAGGGAAGTCATGCTACCCCTCTATTCTGCTTTGGTTAGACCACACGTGGAATATTGTGTCCAATTCTGGGCACCACAATTCAAGAGAGATATTGACAAGCTGGAATGTGTCCAGAGGAGTCGACTAAAATGATCAAGGGTCTGGAGAACAAGCCCTATGAGGAGCGGCTTAAGGAGCTGGGCATGTTTAGCCTGAGAAGAGAAGGATGAGAGGAGATATGATAGCCATGTATAAATATGTGAGAGGAAGCCACAGGGAGGAGGGAGCAGCTTGTTTTCTGCTTCCCTGGAGACTAGGAATGAGGAACAATGGCTTCAAACTACAAGAGAGGAGATTCCATCTGAACACGAGGAAGAACTTCCTGACTGTGAGAGCCGTTCAGCAGTGGAACTCTCTGCCCCGGAGTGTGGTGGAGGCTCCTTCTTTGGAAGCTTTTAAACAGAGGCTGGATGGCCATCTGTCAGGGGCGATTTGAATGCAATATTCCTGCTTCTTGGCAGAATGGGGTTGGACTGGATGGCCCATGAGGTCTCTTCCAACTCTTTGATTCTATGATTCTATGATCAGATTACAAGCCAAGTTTCCGCATTGTCACATGCTTATATCTAGATAGAACTGTGTTATTATTACAGACATCAGAGAAGAGCTTGGGAAATACATCACCACTGTCGTAAACAGAACTATTTGTTTAAGAACACCTTGTGCCATTTTGATAACCTTTCCTTCCACAATTTTTTCCAATCCCTTTTGGACAAAGCAGAGGGAGAAGAGGATTTGCACATTGGTATCCCAGATTCTCCCCTTCCACCTCATTATCATGTTGGATAGAAATGCATTGGCAGTGATTCTATTGTGTAAAATACAGTTCTAATGGACATGTGATGATACACCTGTGGAATGATTAAGTGGGTAGTGCTGTAATACCCAAGGGACATCCAGAAAAGGCCGAGTCATGATCATGTGACTGTCATGACAAAAGGTTGCAACATTGATTTGTCCCTGATTGATGACCATGAAAATGAACAAAACCTGACCATGAAAATGAACAAAACCTCTAGAATCACGACAGTAAACAAAGAGGAACACTCAAACAACTGGGGAATTCCAGACAAGAAACAATCAGGGCCAGCTAACACCTCCTAAGAAAAGATTCCCCCAGGCAGGAAGCAGCCAGACTTTGAAGTTGCAAGGCTATTCAAGGTAACAATCGCACCATTCACACTTGCCGCAAACAAACAGTTCTTTCTCCCACCCTGGACATTCCACAGATAAATAAACCCTACTTGCCTAGTTTCCAACAGACCTCACAACCTCTGAGGATGCCAGCCATAGATGTGGGCGAAGCGTCAGGAGAGAATGCTTCTGGAACATGGCCAGACAGCCCGGAAAACTCACCTCAACCCTTCCTGATATTTTGGATGAAAATGGTATCAGTGTGCTGAATAAGGTCAGATGTTGCAGTTATACTCTGCTGATGAGTGCTGAAAAGAACTCTGCTGTTTTTGCTTTCCTCTGTGGCATTGGATTCAGTGTGCCACGTTTCCAGGAAGAGCGTGAATGAAAAACTATAAATCATGCATCTATCCTGCGACATATCAAACCACCATTCCTTAGGCACACATAACCACATTCCCCCTTCCTGTTGCTCCTACCTTGGCCTTGCTGGTGGAGGAGAAGTGCTGCTCCACAAAGAGGGCCCCCAATGCCATCCCAAAGTGCTTGTTGGCCTGGCTCAGGCACACCTTGCTCAGCTCCATCTGCTTCTCAGCCCCCTCCATCTCCCGGGCGAGTTCATGGATGGCGTCCCGGAAAGGCGTGGAGAGGTGCTCGCTCAGCACCACTGCGATGCGCCACAGCATGTAGTTGTGGAGGATCCTAGGAAGAAGCAACAAGGCAAGGTGGACAAATATAGGAGGTGATTTCAACATCTTGCAACATGGGGTGGCTTATGCACAAGAGATAACAGAGCTCAGGAAACTGAAACTTCCACTTCTCCATTATCCAGTATAGTCAAGAGCAGGCATGGGCAAACTTTGGCCCTCCAGGTGTTTTGGACTTCAACTGGAGGGGCGAAGTTTGCCCATGCCTGGTCAAGAACTTCTCCAAGGTCAAAACACTTAACACATTTTCAACTTTGTGGGGCAGGTTTTGCATTTCCAAAAGAATCTGGTGGTACAATCTTTCTGGGTCTCTATTACCTTTGGATGCATGGTGAGAAAATGCCTATGTTGGGATGCTGAGGCAATACTTCATCAGGAATATCTAAGTCCTGCAACACAACTCTATGGATACATTCTGCCAGAGGGTAACCACAGTATCATGCCAGCGGATGTAGAGATTGCTAGATAAATGTCTTCTAGATCAAACTTCTAAATTGCAAACCAATTTGGGCTTCCCTAACTCAATCAATTATGTAACTTGCCACCTAGTGGCTGTTTTAGGCATTTACATGAATCCAGGAGAAAGAAAAAAGGAGAGCCAACAGAGTATTTTCTGCCACTTGAGGCTGAAAACAAAGCATGCCAGGGGTGGCATGAATAATGTTGAAGATGCTTTACGTCCTGCAGTATAATAGAAACAAGTATACCCATCTCATTAGAATGCAAATTGAATTTAGTCTTTAATAAATGGTAAAATTATATGTATATCAAAGAATTATTGTAAATTAAATTTCTTTATGATTTTATTATCAGTGAATCTTTGATTTATATACTTATTTTATATACCTATACCTGAAGGTCACCTAAAAAATATTTGAGGGAGAAGGAGTTGCGACTGGAAAAAAATTAAGAAGCCCTGATTTATTTATTATTATTATTTATTTATTTACTATATTTATATACTGCTACTCTCAGCCCAGAGGTGACTCAGAGCGGTATAGATCTATATCTATACCTTCCAGCACAACTCAATAGTCTACTTCCAACAGAAGTTGACCACAGAATTGCACTGGAGGACCTAAAGCAGTCTCAACCTTCCTTATGCCGTGGCCCCATAATACAGTTCCTCATGTTATGGTGACCACCGACCATAACATTATTTTCGTTGCTACTTCATAACTGTCATTTTGCTACTGTTATGAATCGTAATGTAAATATCTGATATGCAAGATGTGTTTTCATTTACTGGACCAAATTTGGTACAAATACCCGATACACTCAAATTTGAATAATGTGAAGGTGTGTGTGATGTTGTCATTTGGGAGTTGTATTTGCTGGGATTTATAGTTCACCTACAATAAAAGAGCGAGGACAAAACAGAAGAAATTAAAGAGAAATGGGCAACATATATGACATATGTTGCCCATTTGGGGTGAGAAGGGTGGAATATAAATAAAGTATTATTATTATTATTATTATTATTATTATTATTATTATTATTATTGTAGAAGAAGGCGAAGCCAACACAGATATTGTACAAAGATTTCAAAAGTTGTGTTCGTGGTTAAAAATAAAGATATATATAGAAAAGTTGTGGGAGGGGTAGGGAAGGATGGTGGGAAGAGGTGGGAGAAAAAAAATGTAATATGAATGAATAGATAATACAGAAATATGTTATTATAATGTATGCTTACAATGGACAAATATTATCTGTTCAAATAATTAAAAAAACAAACAAAAGCTACAACCAAAGAGCTTTCTGAACTCCACCAATGCTGGAATTGAACCAAACTTGGAACACAGAACTTCCATGGCCAACAGAAAATACTTCAATGGTTTGGTGGGTATTGACCTTGAGGTTTGGAGTTGTAGTTCACCTACATCCAGAGAGCACTGTAAACCCAAACAATAACAGATCTGGACTAAACTTGGCACGAATACTCAGTATGCCCAAATGGGAACACTGGTGGAGTTTGGGGAAAATAGACCCTCACATTTGGGAGTTGCAGTTGTTGGGATTTAGAGTTCACCTACAATCAAAGAGCATTCTGAACCCCACCAACGATAGAATTGGGCCAAACTTCCCACACAGAGACCTCTATGACCAATAGAAGATACTGGAGGGATGTTCACCTACATCCAGAGAGCACTATGAACACGAACGACTACGATAAAGGGATTCCTAAGACCATCCAAAATATGTGTTGTCTGATGGTCTTTGGCAACCCCTCTGAAACACCCTGACCACCCCCCAAAGGGTCCTGACCCCCAGATAGAGAAACATGGACTTAAAGGTTCTTGGAGAGAACATATTAATCTAAACCCACAAATGTGGAGGGCTGACTGTACAGCCCAGGCATCCAAGGGAAACACCAAAGATAATAATTCTTTGTGATGATAATTTTCAGTATCTTACTGAAATGTCATGGGGTGGCAGACAGTGCACTCATTTGAGTCTGCTTCCTTTCCAAGGCAGCTGCATCCTTGCTCTCCTACAACATTTCCTTACCGAATTGGCGTGGAATGGATGAGCTGAGATACCCGCTGCATGTAGTCCGTGGCCAGCAGTACCACTTCCTCTTCCTCCGAGAAATTGTCGTGGAATATTCGGTCAAGAAGCCGCTTCCACTTCAACTGGTGGAATTAACAAGAAAAGGCATCCATTGTTTGCTTGCACAATTTCTATCTTTCTCCTATGGCATGGAAAATGAGCCATGTGTGACTCTTAAGGACACAATTTGTGGTTCCTAAAACACCTTGGAAACCCACAATCCCTTCAATGCTTAAATAAGGTCATTATCTGCACCAATTTTCAGGCTATTGTCCTTATATAAACAGCACATGGACCACAAAAACAGCACATAACTTTCCCCACCTTTCACTCCAATCCCCTGGCTATGGACTTGTGATCAATTTGGGTTTTAAAAAAATGTAGTCTTATATGGCCCACAGTTGGTCTTGGAGGTCAAATATCGATCTCAGACTCCCAGAGCTGCCTCCCCCATTATAAAAGTTATATATAACTTGCCATAAGTCAGGAAATGTCTTGAAGGCACTCAACAAGTTCAAAGGAAGACATCTTCAGGCTCAGTTCATCAAATACAACATTGTAGAGCCACCTCACCTTTGTTTTGTGCCTTCCTTTTGTGAGGACCCCATTCCAGTTATACTAAAACCAACCCAACGATGCAAACGTACATTAGGCGTGATGCGCTGCAGCTCTCCCAAAGTCACTTTGTTGTACATGGAGTTGATATCCCTGCGCAGATCATCGTACTCAGAAACAGTGATCTGGGAAATGGATACAGAAGAAGAAATGGAATGGGTTATCCTTTGTCTTGGTTTTATCTAGAGCAGAGGTCTCACTCACAGCAAAGTGAAACCAAATTGCATCAATTCTATGGTGTAGATGCAGCCTAAGGACCCAATCAAAGAACCCCAGGGTGCTCCAAGAGAAATAAGTTTTGCCAAGGATTGAAAACATGACATCTGGGGCCAGAGGTTTAGCACAGCTGGTAAATCACCAGGACTTATAAGATCTATCAACCGAAAGGTTGCAAGTTCAAAGCCCCGTGTTGGTGTGAGCTGCCACCTGTCAGCCCAGCTCACTGCTTACCTAAGCAGTTCGAAAACAGCTTTAATTGTAATTAGAGAAATTTGGTACCGCTAAAAGCGGGGAAGGTATTTTACGACGCTATAAAGAAAGAAGATGCTGGGTGACCAAAAGGAAGGAGGGAGTCCTGACGGCTCTTCGTCATAGAGGATGGAGCAACAGCACCCCCTGTGCCTGGATTCAAGCACAACCTTCCATGGATCCAAAATAGCTGGATTGAGTTAAAACAACACACCTTCTTTTGTTCTGTCTGTCTGTGTATTGACGATACAAAAGCGGCATTGAATATTTGCTGTGTATGTGTACTGTGATCCGCCCTGAGTCCCCTTCGGGGTGGGAAGGGTAAAATATAAATAAAGTATTATTATTATTATTATTATTATTAGTAGTAGTAGTAGTAGTAGTAATAGTAGTAGTAGTAGTATTGCCATATAAGCTGGTCTCTGGAGGCTTCCAAAATGGATGTTGGATTTCCATTTTCTAAGATTGCTTCCAGTATGTATTCCGTATCGTACAGGGTTGGATTAGATGGATATTATCAGTCCCTTCTGACTCTATGATTTCTCCGTCCCTCCATTAGCCAAGAAAGGTAAAGTGAATGCTGGAGACTTACATTGGCTAACCTCTGTTCCAGGTGCAGGATTTCACTGGCTTTCTGCTCCACATTTTCTGCTCCCAGCAAGCTCAAGACACGTTCCATGAAAATCCGGTAAGCAGCCAAGATCTAAGAAGGTACATGGTGGTAAAAAAATACTTGTGAGGCATCATCATAATCATCAGTAGTATTATATCCTGCTTTTTCTCTCCCAAAGGAGACTGAAAGTGGCTGGCTGCATTTACACTAGACCAAGTGGGAAGAATGAAGTTCCTCTTGAGAGGCACACTTACACTGCAAAATAACATAGTGCCATGTAGGCTTTCATGGCCGGAATCACTGGGTTTTTGTAGGTTTTTTCGGGCTATATGGCCATGGTCTAGAGGCATTCTCTCCTGACGTTTCGCCTGCATCTATGGCAAGCATCCTCAGAGGTAGTGAGGTCTGTTGGAACTAGGAAAAAGGGTTTATATATCTGTGGAATGATCGGAGTGGGACAAAGGACTCTTGTCTGCTGGAGCTAGGTGTGAATGTTTCAACTGACCACCTTGATTAGCATATAATGGCCTGACAGTACCTGGAGCAAACTTTTGTTTAGAGGTGATTAGATGTCCTTGTTTGTTTCCTCTCTGTTGTTGTGCTGTTGTAATTTTAGAGTTTTTTTTAATACTGGTAGTCAGATTTTGTTCATTTTCATGGTTTCCTCCTTTCTGTTGAAATTGTCCACATGCTTGTGGATTTCAATGGCTTCTCTGTGTAGTCTGACATGGTGGTTGTGAGAGTGGTCCAGCATTTCTGTGTTCTCAAATAATATGCTGTGTCCAGGTTGGTTCATCAGGTGCTCTGCTATGGCTGGTTTCTCTGGTTGAAGTAGTCTGCAGTGCCTTTCATGTTCCTTGATTCGTGTTTGGGCAATGCTGCGTTTGGTGGTCCCTCTGTAGACTTGTCCATAGCTGCATGGTACACGGTAGACACCTGCAGAAGTGAGAGGATCCCTCTTGTCCTTTGTTGAATGTAGCATTTGTTGGATTTTCTTGGTGGGTCTGTAGATAGTGTGTATGTTGTGTTTCCTCATCAGCTTCCCTATGCGGTCAGTGGTTCCCTTGATGTATGGCAAGAACACTTTTCCTCTGGGTGGATTTTCATCTTTACTCTCGTGGCTTGTTCTTGGTCTTGTAGCTCTTCTGATGCCTGAGGTGGAATCTCCATTGGCCTGTAGAGCCCAGTTGAGGTGGTTCAGTTCATCTTGGAGGAGGTGGGGTTTGCAGAAAATGTGGACCATTTCCGCTACCTTGGCAGCCACCTCTCCACCAAAGTCAACATCGACGCCGAAATACAACACCGCCTGAGCTCTGCAAGTGCAGCATTTTCCAGAATGAAGCAGAAAGTGTTTGAGGACCGGGACATCCGCAGGGAGACCAAGGTGCTTGTCTATAAAGCTATTGTCCTCCCAACCCTGCTCTATGCCTGTGAGACGTGGACTGTCTACAGACGTCACATGCAACTCCTGGAACGATTCCATCAGCGCTGCTTCCGGAAAATCCTGCAAATCTCCTGGGAAGACAAGCGGACAAACGTCAGTGTGCTGGAAGAAGCAAAGACCACCAGCATTGAAGCGATGGTCCTCCCATCAACTCTGCTGGACCGGCCACGTTGTCCGAATGCCCGACCACTGTCTCCCAAAGCAGTTGCTCTACTCCGAACTTAAGAACGGAAAACGGAACGTTGGTGGACAGGAAAAGAGATTTAAAGATGGGCTCAAAGCCAACCTTAAAAACTCTGGCATAGACACTGAGAACTGGGAAGCCCTGGCCCTTGAGCGCTCCAGCTGGAGGACAGCTGTGACCAGCAGTGCTGCAGAATTTGAGGAGGCACGAGTGAAGGGTGAAAGAGAGAAACGTGCCAGGAGGAAGGCGCGTCAAGCCAACCCTGACTGGGACCGCCTTCCACCTGGAAACCAATGCCCTCACTGCGGAAGAAGATGCAGAGCAAGAATAGGGCTCCACAGCCACATACGGACCCACAGAGAAATCCATAATGGAAGACCATCTTACTCGTCCAACGAGGGATCGCCTAAGTAAGTAAGGTTCACAGATTCTTTTTGCACGGTCTGCCAAGGCTTTAATGGTGCTTCCTCTTTTACTTGGGTGATGGTTGGAGTTTTTATGTAGATATCTATCTGTGTGTGTGGGTTTTCTGTAGACGGTGTGACCCAATTGTTGATCTGGTTTGCGGATGACTAGGATATCTAGAAAAGGCAGTCTTCCTTCATTTTCTTTTTCCATGGTGGACTGGATGTTTGGGTGGATGCTGTTAAGATGGTCCAGGAACCTGTTGAGTTCTTCTCCTCTTTGGCTCCAAATGGTGAATGGGATTCTTTTGGTTACTCTCAACTCAGATGAGTCATTTATATTTACAGCATGACCCTTGTATCCATGGGATCAGTATTGGCAGTTTCATTTATCTATATCCAACAAAATATGTCTTTGCTTGATTCTTTTAGGTCCTCCAGCATTGATATCCTTGGACCAGAAGTCCTACATTTCAATAGGATTCACTGCTATCCATGGTTTCACATATCCACATAAAGTGCAGGAATTTCCACAGATATATAAACCCAATTTTCCTAGTTTCCAACAGACCTCTGAGGATTCTTGCCGTAGATGCAGGAGAAACATCAGGAGAGAATGCTTCTAGAACATGGTCATACAGCCCGAAAAACCTACAACAACCCAAAGTGCAGGAAAGTTTGTTCTCAGATATGTGGTCATATTGTATTTGAAGCAGTGATATGCTCCACTTTTTGACAGTCTGTTTCTTCTATCATTTTCAATTATACTACAAGCACATATAGTCAACATGTGGTCCACTGCTTCACCATATTTATACAAGGCTTTTTGCTTTTCACCCTGCTCAGCCTTCTCTTCTTCAGGCTAAAGATGCCCAACTCTTTAAGCCGCTCCTCATAGGGCTTGTTCTCCAGACCCTTGATCATTTTAGTCGCCCTCCTCTGGACACATTCCACAGAGATATTGACAAGCTGGAATGTGTCCAGAGGAAGGCAACTAAAATGATCAAGGGTATGGAGAACAAGCCCTATAAGGAGGGGCTTAAGGAGCTGGGCATGTTTAGCCTGAAGAAGAGAAGGCTGAGAGATGATAGCCATGTATACATACATGAGAGGAAGTCATAGGAAGGAGGGAGCAAGCTTGTTTTCTGCTGCCCTGGTGACTAGGATGTGGAACAATGGCCTCAAACTACAAGAAAGGAGATTCCATCTGAACATGAGGAAGAACTTCCTCACTGTGAGAGCCGTTCAGCAGTGGAACTCTCTGCCCCGGAGTGTGGTGGAGGCTCCTTCCTTGGAAGCTTTAAACAGAGGTTGGATGGCCATCTGTCAGGGGTGATTTGAATGCAATTTTCCCGCTTCTTGGCAGTGGGTTGGACTGGATGGCCCATGAGGTCTCTTCCAACTCTAGGATTCTATGCTCTCAATCAACTCAGCACCATGCTTTCTTTCAGTTTGTGTGGAGTATCTCTTCAAAATTGTGCACTGGGTGTATTTGTGCTTATAGTAGAGTATTTGTATTTATAATTGTGCTTATAAGACAACAGTGGTGATAAAAATATATGCCTTCCAGATTTCAACCATTTTCATTTTTTAAAGTGTTTTGGTCCCAACTCCTTTGAATAAACAGATATTTATCTATCTGTCTATCTGTCTATCTATTATCTCTCTATCTAATAATCATCTCAGAGTGACTTACAAATTTGGAATTTGAGTCTGAACTTGAGGGAAGCTAGTACTGAACCCTACTTATCACTCCTATATAGATTAAGCACCTTGAAGCACGCCTCTGAAGTTCTGACCAAAACCAGGAACAGATTCATTGCCTCTCCCTACTGAAATCATCTTTCTACCAGGTGGCTAGAAGTTGGGGTTGTTGTAGGTTTTTTCGGGCTATATGGCCATGGTCTAGAGGCATTCTCTCCTGACGTTTTGCCTGCATCTATGGCAAGCATCCTCAGAGGTAGTGGATGCTTGCCATAGATGCAGGCAAAACGTCAGGAGAGAATGCCTCTAGACCATGGCCATATAGCCCGAAAAAACCTACAACAACCCAGTGATTCCGGCCATGAAAGCCTTCGACAATACATTGGCTAGAAGTTATTGATAATTCTCAGGATGTGGTTAGAGCTGGAACAGCTTCAAAGCTTGAAATCAAATTTTCCAAAAAATAATTAATTTCTGTTACTAATTACAAAGCCATTTTATTAAAGAGGTAGTTTATTAAATTGTTCATTTTTTTTCTGTGAATGTTACTGGGATATTGCTTTCTAATTGCATTTTGCTTAGAAGAAACAAATAGATGTGCTGTGCTCCAGTGGGCTGTAATATTTCTAGGAACTGCAAAATGACAGGAGAGGATCAAGATTAAGTCTTCGCTGAGCCATCAGTCTCACTGGACTTTGAACTAAGTCCTTCTTTATCAACCTGCCCTTCTTCACAGGATTGTTGTGAGCAAAAGAGGAGCAGGGAAGCACCTCACATTCATCTCAGTGGAAAGAAACTGGGATAGCAATGAGAAGATTAAGAAGAGACATGCTAGCCAAGTTTAAATATTGAAAAAAGGTTGACTTATTGAGGAAGAATCCAGCTCCAGAAACTAGGACACAATGGGGAGGTTTGCGAGAGGGTGTCAGAGGGGTTGCCAAAGACCATCAGAAAACACAGTATTTTCTGTTGGTCATTGGAGTTCTGTGTGGGAAGTTTGGCCCAATTCTATCATTGCTGGGGTTCAGAATCCTCTTTGATTGTAGGTGAACTATAAATCCCAGCAACTACAACTCCCAATTGTCAAGGTCTATTTCCCCCAAACTCCACCAATGTTCACATTTGAGCATATTGAGTATTCCTGCCAATTTTGGTCCAGATCTATTATTTATTGTTGAGTCCACAGTGCTCTCTGGTTGTAGTTGGACTACAACTCCAAAACTCAAGGTCAATGCCCACCAAACCCTTCCAATACTTCCTATTGGTCATGGGTTTGGGTTAGGCCCTATGACCAACAAGTTAAACATGAGCCAACAATGTGATGTGGTGGCAAAAAAAGCCAATGGGATTTTGGCCTGCATCAAGAGGAGCATAGTTTCTAAATCTAGGGAAGTCATGCTACCCATGCTCTATTCCGCTTTGGTTAGACCACCCCTGGAATATTGTGTCCAATTCTGGGCACCACAATTCAAGAGAGATATTGACAAGCTGGAATGTGTCCAGAGGAGGGCGACTAAAATTATCAAGGGTCTGGAGAACAAGCCCTATGAGGAGTGGCTTAAAGAGCTGGGCATGTTTAGCCTGAAGAAGAGAAGGCTGAGAGGAGACATGATAGTCATGTATAAATATGTGAGAGGAAGCCACAGGGAGGAGGGAGCAAGCTTGTTTTCTGCTTCCCTGGACTAGGACGCGGAACAATGGCTTCAAACTACAAGAGAGGAGATTCCATCTGAACATGAGGAAGAACTTCCTGACTGTGAGAGCTGTTCAGCAGTGGAACTCTCTGCCCTGGAGTGTGGTGGAGGCTCCCTCTTTGGAAGCTTTTAAACAGAGGCTGGATGGCCATCTGTCAGGGGTGATTTGAATGCAATATTCCTGCTTCTTGGCAGGGGGTTGGACTGGATGGCCCATGAGGTCTCCAACTCTTTGATTCTATGATTCTAACTGGAGGTCAGCTGTGACCAGCAGTGCTGCAGAATTCAAAGAAGCAGAATTCAAACAGGGTAAAAGGGAGAAACGTGCCAAGAGTAAGGCACGTAAAGCCAACCCTGATCGGGACCACCTTCCACCTGGAAACCGATGTACTCATTGCAGGAGAACATGCAGATCAAGAATAGGTCTCCATAACCACATATGGACCCACTGCCAAGACACCACATCTGGAAGACAATCATCCTTGAGCTATGAGGGATCGCCTAAGAAAGGAGCAATGAATTCAGACTGATATTTCCTAAACATTCTAATTCTAATCAAGGTGAAAGAAGAAAGCGCAAAAGCCAGGTTGCAGCTAAACGTCAAAAAAACCAAAATTATGGCAACAAGAATGATTGACAACTGGAAAATAGAGGGAGAAACCGTGGAGGCCATGACAGACTTTGTATTTCTAGGTGCAAAGATTACTGCAGATGCAGACTGTGGCCAGGAAATCAGAAGACGCTTACTTCTTGGGAGGAGAGCAATGTCCAGTCTCGATAAAATCGTAAAGAGTAGAGACATCAGACTGGCAACAAAGATCCGCCTAGTCAAAGCCATGATATTCCCTGTAGTAACCTACGGATGTGAGAGCTGGACCTTAGGGAAGGCTGAGCGAAGGAAGATCGATGCTTTTGAGCTGTGGTGTTGGGGGAAAGTTCTGAGAGTGCCTTGGACTGCGAGAAGATCCAACCAGTCCATCCTCCAGGAAATAAAGCCCGACTGCTCACTGGAGGGAAGGATACTAGAGACAAAGTTGAAGTACTTTGGCCACATCATGAGGAGACAGCAAAGCCTAGAGAAGACAATTATGCCTGGGGAAAGTGGAAGGCAAAAGGAAGAGGGGCCGACCAAGGGCAAGATGGATGGATGGCATCCTTGAAGTGACTGGACTGACCTTGAGGGAGCTGGGGGTGGTAACGGCCGACAGGGAGCTCTGGCGTGGGCTGGTCCATGAGGTCACGAAGAGTCGGAGACGACTGAACGAATGAACAACAACAAGGAAGAATTTCCTGACAGTAAGAGCTGTTTGGCAGGAGAATATGCTGCTTGGGAATGTGGTTGCGCCTCCTTCTCTGGAGACCTTTAAGCAGAAGCTGGATGGCCATCTGTCAGGAAGCTTTCATTCTGTAGTTCTGCTTGGGAGATGTGGGGGTTGAACTGGATGGCCTCTAGTGGTCCTTTCCACCTCTAGGAGTCTATGAAATATCAGAATATATTTCTGTCTGAGTGTGTACACACACATTTTTCCTTCTTACCTTTTCGCTTTCCTCATCCTGTCCCATGTAGAGGGTTCTCTCAGACAACGTCAGCCCATCTTGGTCAATCTGAGAAGATGGAGAGAAGACACATGGAAAACTTTACTTGGACAGAAAGGAAGGCACCTAATACCTATGCTCTCTTCCCACTCCTCCATTCAATGCTGGTTATCCAATTTGGTAATTTTAGACCCCAAAGCAAGGGCAAAAATCAGATATTGTTGGCCTACACCTCCCAGAAACCATAGCAAAACAGGAAATGGTGACACATGCTGGGAGCTGCAATCCAATGTCTAGAAGACCACTGAATTCTTGCTACTGGATGCTTCCAAACTACACAACTATAGCATTTTGATTCCACTTTAACTGCCATGATTCCATCCTATGGGATCCTGGAGTTTGTAGTTTGGTAAGGCATTAGAGGGCAGGCTTCAAAATACCTCTTGGATAGACACACGTACACACACACACAAACAGAATTAAAGAAAGGGGTAAATAAAATCAAAATGGAAAAATATAAAGAATTAGAAAGGAAATTCATCTGGAAATGGTACAGGACACCAGCTCAATTAGCAAATATGGGAACAGGATTAAGTCCAATGTGTTGGCATTGTAAAGCAGAGAAAGGCTGGTATGCACATATGTGGTGGGACTGTTTAAATGCAAAAACGTTTTGGAATAAGATAACTAGAAAAATTGGGAAACTTTTCAAAATAACAATACAAGTCAATATGGAATTTATGCTAATGGCAATTACAGGGAATAAAAATATTGATGCGAAGAACCAAAACTTATTTAAAGCAATGATTTTAGCAGGTAAGGCGGTAATAGCCTGGGGGTGGAGAGGTGAAAAAAAGTGGAATTTGGAAAATTGGAATAATTATTTATTTGAACAAGTTCAATCAGATATTATTGAATGTATAACCCAAGAAGACTCACAGAAGGACAAAACAGAAGAAATTAAAGAGAAATGGGCAACATATATGAAATGGGTAGAAGAAGGCGAAGCCAGCATAGAAATTGTACAAAGATTGCAAAAGTTGTGTGCGTGGTTAAAAATAAAGATATAGAGAGAAATGTGGTGGGAGGGGTAGGAAAGGGTGGTGGGAGGAGGGGGAAAAAGAAAGGAGAAAATAATAATAAAAAGGTAATATGAATAAACTTGTAAAGAATGCGAATAGATAATATTGAAATATGTCACTATAATGTAGACAAGTATTATCTGTTCAAATATGTTATTATTTTTCTTTCTCAATAAAAAAATCTTAAAAACACACACACACACACACACACACAAACACACACACATGACAATGAGTGCAGCATAATTCTATATGACATTTTACTCCTTTAATCTAGATCAGTGGTTCTAAACCTGGGGGTCGGGACCCCTGGGGGGGGGTCACAAGGGGTTTTTAGAGGGGTCTCCAAAGTTCATCCAAAAACATAGTATTTTCTGTTGGTCGTAGGGGTTCCATGTGGGAAGTTTGGCCCAATTCTATCATTGGTGGGGATCAGAATGATCTTTTATTGTAGGTGAACTATAAATCCCAGCAACTAAAACTCTCAAATGCCAAGGTCTATTTTCCCCAAACTCCACCAGTGTTCATTCACATTGGACATGTTGAGTATTCATGGCAAGTTTGGTCCAGATCCATCACTGTGTGAGTCCATAATGCTCTCTGGATGTAGGTGAACTACAACTCCAAACCTCAAGGTCAATGCCCACCAAACCCTTCCGTATTTTCTGTTGGTCAAGGGAGTTCTGTGTGGCAAGATTGGTTCAATCCCATTGTTGGAGTTCATAATACTCTTTGATTGTTGGTAAACTATAAATCCCAGCAACTACAATTCCCAAATGACAACATCAATCACCTGCCAACCCCACCAGTATTAAAACTGGGGCATATCACGTGTTTGTGCCAAATGTGGTCCAGTGAATGAAAACACATCCTGCATATCAGATATTTATATTATGATTCATAACAGTAGCAAAATTATAGTTGTGAAGTAGCAACAAAAATAATATTATGGTTGGGGGTCACTACAACATGAGGAACTGTATTAAGGGGTCGCGGCATTGGAAAGATTGAGAACCACTGATCGAGATACTCAACTTCTGTTTCCTTTTGATTTACCATTTTGCACTACCAATGGCACTACCTAAAAGAATCCCATACCTTGTGTGACTGTGGAGCAGAACAGACAACTCTGCATCTGTATGCTTGTCCATTGTGCCCTGCCTCATGTACAGAAGAGGAATTATTGGAGGCTACAGACAATGCCGTTGCTGTTGCCTGTTTTTGGTCAAAATAATAATATAATAATAAAACTTTATTTGTACCCTGCTACCATCTCCCCAAGGGACTCGGTGCGGCTTACATGAGGCCGAGCCCACAATACATCAGCAAAAACAACAACAATAATACAATAATACAAAACAATGAAATAAAATTGTCGAAGGCTTTCATGGCTGGAATCACTAGGTTCTTGTGGGTTTTTTCGGGCTATAGAGCCATTCTAGAGGCATTTCTCCTGACGTTTCGCCTGCATCTATGGCAAGCATCCTCAGAGTGTTTAGTTAGTTTGTATGTTTTACAAAACCGCATTGAGTCGCGGAAGAAAATGAACAAAATCTGGCTACCAGTATTAAAAAACTCAAAAATTATAACAGCTAAACAACAGAGGGAAAAAACCAGGCACAGATTAACACCTCCCAGCAACAGATTTTCCCAGACTCAGGCAGGCCTTCAAATGCTAATGAAGGTGATCAGCTAAACATTCACACCTAACTGCAGCAGGGAAGAGCTCCTTGCCCCACCCCAGCCATTCCACAGATATATAAACCCATTTTTTCTACTTCCAACAGACCTTCTCAACCTCTGAGGATGCTTGCCATAGATGCAGGCGAAACGTCAGGAGAAATGCCTCTAGAACATGGCTCTATAGCCCGAAAAAACCCACAAGAACCTAATGAAATAAAACTCATAAACAAAAATAGGCAGTAAACATCAACAATAACACAATAACATTTAAAAATATGGATGGGGCCAAATGTAATGATTAAAATTTTAAAAATAATGCTGAGCAAGACCAGGTGAAATATAACTAGGATAGAATTTCGGAAAAGAATGGGGCGAACAGACATTCCTCGATCACTAATAAAGTGCATTGAGGGACATATTGCTGGGAGTTTCCTTATTCTGGGAAGGCACACTGGAACAACCTTGTTTTCAGACTCCTCCTAAAGACTGCCAGAGTTGGGGCATGCCTGATGTCCTTCGGGAGTGAGTTCCAGAGTCGAGGGGCCACCACCGAGTAGGCCACCAAAAGATATTTAGCCTCCTGCACACCTTCTATTTTATCAGTTTTATACTAATTTATGCAATGCTTTTGATACAAAATAATAATAATAATAATAATAACCATTTTGCATCCTTCTGTGTAATTAAGGATCTGCTTCCATGTCCACAATTCCCTTTTCAAGCGGAGTGGCCACATTTCTCTATAGCCTGATAAGCAGCAGACTAGTAGAGCTTGTCATTGGAATGATTAATGACAAGCATTTGTCATTAGTACAGGATTAATTATGAAGTTTGGAGGCAGTGGTGGTTGGCGATTTCCAGGTCTGAGGGGTAGCACATTCTCTCTGAGTTTTAGTTCAAACTTTAGAAGACTTGCCCAAGACACTACTTTCTAAAACAGTTTCAGAACCTTGGATAGTTGCTTTGATAACTGAACTGGAACCTGGAACAGATATCATAGAATCATAGAATCAAAGAGTTGGAAGAGACCTCATGGGCCATCCAGTCCAACCCCCTGCCAAGAAGCAGGAATATTGCATTCAAATCACCCCTGACAGATGGCCATCCAGCCTCTGTTTAAAAGCTTCCAAAGAAGGAGCCTCCACCACACTCCGGGGCAGAGAGTTCCTCTGCTGAATGGCTCTCACAGTCAGGAAGTTCTTCCTCATGTTCAGATGGAATCTCCTCTCTTGTAGTTTGAAGCCATTTTTTCGCGTCCTAGTCTCCAGGGAAGCAGAAAACAAGCTTGCTCCCTCCTCCCTGTGGTTTCCTCTCACATATTTATACATGGCTATCATATCTCCTCTCAGCCTTCTCTTCTTCAGGCTAAACATGCCCAGCTCTTTAAGCCGCTCCTCATAGGGCTTGTTCTCCAGACCCTTGATCATTTTAGTCGCCTCCTCTGGACACATTCCAGCTTGTCAATATCTCTCTTGAATTGTGGTGCCCAGAATTGGACACAATATTCCAGGTGTGGTCTAACCAAAGCAGAATAGAGGGGTAGCATTACTTCCTTAGATCTAGACACTATGCTCCTATTGATGCAGGCCAAAATCCCATTGGCTTTTTTGCTGCCACATCACATTGTTGGCTCATGTTTAACTTGTTGTCCACGAGGACTCCAAGATCTTTTTCACACGTACTGCTCTCGAGCCAGGCATTGTCCCTCATTCTGTATCTTTGCATTTCGTTTTTTCTGCCTAAGTGGAGTATCTTGCATTTGTCACTGTTGAACTTCATTTTGTTAGTTTTGGCCCATCACTCTAATCTGTCAAGATCGTTTTGAATCCTGCTCCTGTCCTCTGGAGTATTGGCTCTCCCTCCCAATTTGGTGTCGTCTGCAAACTTGATGATCATGCCTTCTAGCCCTTCATCTAAGTCATTAATAAAGATGTTGAACAGGCCCGGGCCCAGGACAGAACCTGCGGCACTCCACTCGTCACTTCTTTCCAGGATGAAGAGGAAGCATTGGTGAGCACCCTTTGGGTTCGTCCATTTAACCAATTACTGATCCACCTCACCGTAGTTTTGCCTAGCCCACATTGGACTAGTTTGTTTGCCATAAGGTCATGGGGGACCTTGTCAGGTTCTCAACCTGGGGTCCCCAGATGTTTTTGTCCTTCAACTCCCAGAAATCCTAACAGCTGGTAAACTGGCTGGGATTTCTGGGAGTTGTAGGCCAAAAACATCTGGGGACCCCAGGTTGAGAACCACTGAGATACATGGAAGCTACCAAGGTGCCACTGAACGAAAGGAATTAATATC